CCGTACAGTCATGATTTCCAAACATGTGTGCAGCAGCACTTATTGACCCCCTCAGTCCCTTCCTGCCCAAGGCTATGATAGATCTAGAATATAAAAAAAATGAATTAGTACGCTCTTCGATTGATTCAAATGTCGTCAGGATATTTTTACCTCTGTTATTCGATGCAGCAGATATCGAGAGCTTCCCGACCGGAAAAAAAGAAACGATACAAATATAAAAAAAAAAGTAAAACAATAGGTGCGTCTGTAAAAACCCCCTAAAAACCCTGTGGGAAAAAAAAGGAGGAAAAGACTGCAAGAAGGTCTATCGAATACATACTACAAACTACAAAAATAAATTGGTCGGGAAGAAGATCAAAGACAATACCACAGGAAGTAATCCAGGTGAAGCCAAGCTGAGGAGGACGCGTAAGCACTTCCCGATGAAAAAAAGAGTCACACCGCCGACGATGCCCTTTGACGACAAAAATCGGGTTGGCCACATTTGGTGCGCGAACAAAGTAGAAAGGCTTGGAGGGATGGATGGCTTGCCAGAACGAAAAGAAAACCGGAGAGAAAACCAAAAGCTAAAGAAAGGGTAGAGAAAAAAGAACAGGTAAGTTTTTTCTTGTTGAAGAACTGATAAAAAACCATTTGATGGTACCTTCTGATGGTGATGGTCGATTTAATCGAGTCAGCTACACGGGAAAGCCATAGTCTGGGCGATGGACGCAGCTAGAAACTTGATGAAGTAAAAATAGTACCAGGGCTTCTTAGGTGAACCGAAGTTAGAGAAAACGAAGACAAAAAGAAGAAAAGAACTCCAAAAAGAAAAGCTTCAAATATAAAAGCGAAAAAGAAAAAAGTCCAAAATAAAAACTGAAGGTGAAGACTGTAAAGATAAAAAGCAGAAAGAAGCTGTATAAAAGTTAAAGCTCCAAAAGAGGTATGAATGAACACTTTCTAAATGAAAAAAAAAAGCTCCAAAAATAAAATCTGATAAAAGCAAAAAGAAATTGCATAAAAATAGAGCTCTAAAAGTATGAATGATCGCCTTTAAAATAAAAAAAAATGACACACACCAATGAATGAACAATGAGCAATGTCGCCAGATCAGCTACATTGGTAAAGCATTTCTGCTCATGCACCTTTAATCACCGAAAACTGGAAAGAAAAATCAAAAGGACACACATTTACAGACAACGACAAATTATTAAATAATGCTACAAAGACGCGAGATCGACATCGACAGTAGCCCTTTGCAGAAAGCTATCCCCTATTGAACTTTTCCATAACCTCCACCCAACACCTTTGAATGAATAAATAACACCAAGCGAAGTAGCTGCCAAATCCATATGATGAAAAGGAACACCATGTAACGGTTTTTTAGCTCGCAAATTTTGGCGTGTGGCGACTGGTTTTTAATTTGGTAAGAATTTTAATAGTATCACGTGTTGATCTTTTAAAGATCACAAAGTTATGCTCTTTCGGTCTGTAGTTTGTTGTTACTCTGAGGCTAGTGGGAATAGTAGCTGATTAAAGATGTGTTTGAAATGGGATGCTTCATTTGCAATATTCAGAACTCCGCACTCGAATTTGTGTATCCAAAGGTCTCGCTTGATGGTGTTCTCTTAACTCTAATCTTTTGTCAATAAGCGGTTGATTTTTCGGTAAGATTTAGTTGATGTGCGCATAAATCTTTGCGTATCAATAGACAACCTACATACGATACGATCATAGTCATCAAGTGTTCTCGGCTTATCGTCCGGATGTAGCACCAAAAGTAAATGAAGATGCGGTAAGCCTCGCTTCTGAAACTCCACTGTGTGTACATGGGCAACGACTCTTCCCAAAACATGGTTCTTCGTTAGATCTTCCATCAGAGCTTTACGCTTCTTATTGAAGACTCGCGCACAAAGATCGGGCCGATCAACAGCGGTTTGGAGAGGAGCCAGCTCGTCCTGTATTCCCTTCCACTGAGGATTGCAAGTGAAAGTGATGAAAAGATCAGGCTGTCCGCATCGACGTACAATTGAGTCATGATAGAGTTGCCGCATGTGTCTGGGACTTCCTATGTAGGCGGACGGCAAGATCACTCGTTGCCCGACGCTCTGAAAGTCGTTGTCACCCAGCTCTACTGCATCTACAACACCTCGGCACAGATCCGTTCGCAGGTTCGTCTGATTGAGCCGTAAATACGTCAGCCGATTCTGCTCCATTTTGGCGTACATATCAACTATGTACTGCTGGAACAGGCGTCCGAACAAATGCAGATCGTGACCGTTACTTCGCACCATCAAACGGTAGCTGTACCATTGCATAACCGTGATACTGCGACCGCCAGGGGAGCGTGCGTGGATATTCCAACCGAGGTCACCATGTGGGAACATCAAGACGTACTGGAGAGCATCATAGTGCTGATTCATCTCGCTGATACGTTGAAGCCCATGGCTTCTCGATCGGAGCACAATATCGCGGCTACTATCAGGCGTAATGGTGCTATCGACCAAAATTACTCCAATTTCGCTTGCGGTGGGTGCGTTGTATCGGCGGGCATCGGGAGTGTTTTCCGCGCATATCAGCAATCGCACGTCTACAGCTCCATCCGACTCACGTAAAACTTGGGCCATCGACAGCAACAGTGGAACAAACGGGTTAATTTCCATCAGCAGATCTTGGAGAATTAGCAGTGTTGCATTTTGTAAATAGGGCGTCACAGCGTTTCGGTGTGCCAACTGGGTGTCAGAGTCGTAAATGTACAGTTGAGCAAATGCAGGAGTATGGTTGTCCGTTGGCGGAAGCAGGCCACCGATCCGATGTTAGATGCGTCCTGGATGCGTAGCAGTAAGCTCCACTGCGATTGTTGGCCACTGACTCGTCAATTTGAGCACCTAGGGAAGTGAAACTGAGATTCGTGTTGTAGCCGCGGATGTGTTCACGGAAATCTCTTCCTTCTTCAGTGTTGCTGCGAAGGAGACGCGCGATTGTTGGAGGTGTAGGCTCCAAAGGCGGAAGCACAATGGAACCTTGGGCACAGCAGAACTGGAATTGTGGATTTGAGATGGATCCAGACATGCGCTCTTTGAGCCACATACGTACCTGGCAGAAACTGCAGACAACATTCATGCGTCCCAAGGTATGTCTACTGGGGAGTTCTGATTCATCAGACTCTGCGTTACCAACAGGTGCAGGTAATCTACGGCTGTATTCTCCCGCGTCATTTTCGTTTGCTTCTCTCATAGCCAGCCTCGCTGGATTCAATGGGCAAGCCAGATGGCTGCTGCGCTGGTGTCCCAGTTGCTGGCACGAAGAGCAACGGACTTCTACCGATCCTTGGATCGTAGCAACGTTGGGTTGTTCGGTGCGTCTGGGGTTGTTGGGACAGTTTCTAGAGGTGATCGAGCGTGTCCTGGGAGACCACAAGAAACACAAGAGATGGGTGATGAGACAATAGCGCTTTCCTCAGCACGTCTCGTATTGTCGGGACAGCTGCGATTCGTTGATCGAGCATGACCTGGCAGGCCACACGAAGCACAGAAAATGGTTGAAGACGACGTTGGGAAAAAGCGATTGAGCTTGAGGAAATGGAATAAAGAAAGGAATTGGACCTAGATAACAAACAATACAGCGTGGTTTAACTAAACAAATCATATAATAACACGGTCCGCTCATGCATAAAAGGAAGTGCAGCCCATGAGCAACTCAATGACCGGTTTTTACAAAACGTAAATCATATGATCTATTTTGTTTTAGCCAATCAGCAGCCTTAAAAACATTTATTTTCCAATCAACAACGCCAAATTAGCGGACAATAAAAGTGACTGCGAACTAAATTCAAACATTTTATTAAGGTAGAGATATGGTTTATTCTTTCTTTTCCTCCTCCTTCTTGTGTTCCTTTTCTATGGTGTCCAAGTCCTTGTCGATCTCGGACAACATCTTCTCTAAACGTTTGCTAAGTCGCAAAGAGGTCTTGTCAGCTTCACGGTTCGTGGCCTCTTTCAACTCCTCAATCAACTATTTCGCGAGTGAAGAAAATACATTGACAAGATCAGTTACTCTTACATCCTTTTCTTCTTCTTCTTCTTTTTTTAACCAACTTACGTCTTTGTAGCCTTCGTGCTGGATCTTGATTTCGTTCAACTGAGCGCGCTCTTCCAACACATCGACCTTGGTACGTAATTTGGCCAAAGCTTCCTGTAACTCGTTGCGCTGCTCTTCAGACAATGTGTCATCCAATTTTTCAGGTTCTGGAGCCTTTGATGGCGCCTCCTATTATGATGAGGATGAAATCGCCAAATCAGCATGTCTTCTTCCTCCTTTTATCAGTTGATTTCCTACCTTTTGATCATCGGGCACAAAGGCATCTCTTTGCGCGGCTTCTTCCTGTTTCTTTTTCTCTTCATCTTCTTCTGCTTGCTTCGCTTCCAAACGAGCCTTGGCCTCTTTCTCTTCTTGCTCGGATTCATCTTCAATCAATTCTTGCTGTTGTTCCAATACATCCAACTTTTGCTTATATGTAGTTGCACCAACAAGTTCCAACACTTGCAATTCAGCTTCGTTCACCTAAAGCAATGAATGTAAAGATTAAAATTCAGGACAAGAAGAGAGAGAATAAAAAAAAAAAAAGCGAACCACATACCAAATTATCGGGCAAACTGTTAAAGGTTGCTTTCAGGGCATCCTCGGTACTGACACTGCGATCGGTGTAACTGAATGCTCTGGATAAGACGAGCAATGTCGAGGGAACATGGTGGTTCAAGTGAAGATCCAGCCATTGAGCCAATTCATCCCTTAATCTGCCGGGCGAAATGCCCATGGAACGGATACCACGTGCAGCACAAGCGGCTTGCAACTCTTGAATCGTTAAACTGTCAATACCTTCGCTCAAAATGACCTATGAATACAAGAGACAACCGTTGTTATTTTCCTATGCCACGCAAAACAGTAGGGACAACCCAATCCCCAGTTTTTTTTTTACCTTGTCATCGGCCTTGATTTGACGCATACGGTTACGAATTTGGAAACGCAAGAAATTGTCGGTACCAAAGGCGTTGATATTCATATAACGACACATTGACACTAACTGAGGTCTGGACAAGTTATCCAATGTCAACTCGTCTTCAAACCGTCTGGCCACTTTGAGCAAATCTTCCGTAGATGCTTGTTCGCCAGTCATACGAATCTACCAAACAAAATAAATATTACTATCAACACTCAAGTACGGACGATGATTGTCTTGCTCTTTTTACCTTTCTGAAAAAATCCGCGAATTCCTGAGCGGCTTTTTCATGCTCGGAACCTGGGAAACCAGATTCGGAAATCGTTTCTTGCAAAAATTTTGCCATCTCCAAACGCACTTTTAACAACTTGCGCTTCTTCTCTTCCTATACGATTCAAACAACAAGAAGTTTAGAAAATGCCACACATATCAAAAAATAAAATGGCGATCAGATTCATACCTCGCGTGATTTATCTTCATAAGTGCTAGGCAGCATGTTGGGGAATAATTTCAGCGCCACCGGCAAAAGCAATTCCATGAATGGCACAATGATGAACACAGCAAAAGGAACTAATCGCAACAGATCCGATGTCGTGCGTCGTAACTTTTTTTTTGTCGAAACCAAGTTAGTCCTACGATCTGAATCGAGCGACATGATTTCAATTGTGTTTTTACCTGACGAGCTTCACGTCGGGTCAAATGGCCACCGTTCAACAGCTTGCGTGTAAGCTTGGAAGAGATACGAATCTCAAGGCCCAATAGCTTGGTACCGTGCCAGTAGTGAACTGCTTCATCTTTGACCTTTTGCCACAATGTCTTTTTAGGCTTGACTGCGGTAGTTGTTGACGATGCTGATTCGGCGGCTTTGCCACCGGATTTTTCTGCTAATTCTTTGGCACTTTGCGCTGCCCTGGAAGTCATGGTGGATTTCTCTCCGGCGTAGATTTCTTTGCCCTGTTTAGCTTCTGCACGGCGCAGCACACCAAGATCTTTGGGAAGACCGGCATGAAGACGACGGATGGGCACGACGCCGTGTCGTTGAGCTCTTCCGGCTACAAAGAGACTGGCTTCTAATAGTGGGCTCTTGAACCGAACAGCGGTAGGGGTGCCTCGCGGGCAGTGCACAGGCAACCGTAAACACGCGGTACGCAGAGGAGAAGCTGTGTAGATAGGTCTGTACATGGCAAGGGGGAAAAATAGACTGTGAACGGATCCAATTATCGTATACAAGCAATAAGAACCCTTCTATAGAATGCAAATTCCAGTTAAAAAAAAAGATAGGAAAATGAAAAGTTTAATCAAGATAAGAAACAACAAAAAAAAAAAGAGGGAAGGCGCCCGAAAGAAGCAACACCAATGGCAAAAATTGCAGCCGAATGTGACCATCTTTGATTTCGCGATGCTCCTTATCAATCATGAATAGGTCCCTTGATCTTCATCAACCGCGAATCGCGCCTCTATCCCACTAATAGAGTGAAGCACTTACCACGCAGACAAATTCAAGCCACAGCATCGTTCTTTCAGTGAGTATTAGATCCAGCAATGGTTATCATTTCATTTCAATATTCTATGTTCGACCCGTTACCTTATGCTTCAATATCATTGGACAGACATGAGCAAAGCCGATTCAGCGACATTTGCCTTGAAACACCGAATTTTATCAACACCGCTGTCCACTCACTATATGAGGTCAAACAATCATCCTTCATGTAAGTAAAGGTATACTAAAAGGTCTTTTTCTTAAATCGAACCGTAGCTTTATGTAGGCAATATTCCAGCATTCAATTATGGGATTCGGTAATATTATAGAGTTCTTGAGATCGAACTGATCAGAGCTTGTTCAAAACAAAGTAGGTCTCAACTTGGGAAAAAAAATTCTAAAAAAATTCTGCGCATCAAATATATCAAAATGGTCGAAAATCATATTTTTGAATTTTTGATTTTACATTCTATTGGATGAAGGGCCTTCTTTAATGTTGCATCCTTTGGATAGATTCATTTCAATCTTCGTATCTTATTGGAATAAATAAATGTTCGTTTACTGCTTGTATTGGTGCCTCAAATGCTTATACCACTCCATATACACATGGATATTTATTGAATTCATTAATACGTTACTTTTTCTATTCTCTTTTGTATAAAATAATCAATTCCTTCTTGAACGACCACGACGGCGTGATCTACTTGGCTCAGTGGATTGTCCAGCAGACGCATTCTTTGACGGACGGCCGCGTTTTCGAGAAATCACACCTTTTCTATCCTGGATCCCCCTTTTCTTGGTACCGGCGTCTGGCGTATGGCCAGTTGAGGCGGCTGTATTATCCATCAGACCTAAAAGAGAGCTTGTAAGCTACAGCCCAGAAAATTTCCAGAACGTTAATTTTTTGCTTACTTGTGGTAGAATCCGGGGGCAAGGCTTGCTCGTCACAGCTCGTTCTGCGCTAGATAGCACAGGATCCAAGCTGTTCATCTGGCTGAATGATGGATATCTATACGTGTATAGCAGTCGATGTCCGATAACATATAATTATATCAACTACCCTACCTATCTTCGCCGAGGTCGAATTCCTCTTCAGGTACGGCATTCTGGCTATTACAGTATGTGTTCAGTTTAAATTCATCAAGAATATAACTTTATCACTTTACCTCGCCGAAGGAGCAGAAAACATAGTGGGCACACTTTCCTCTTCTTGAAAGCTTGTCGCATCGTAGCCTATGGCAAGAGTAGATGCTAACATAGAATATGAGATATAACTGCCACGATATCAAAGCATCTTTTACCTTCACTTTTTGCTTTTCTCCATGACTTGACCTTGATATGGCGGGCTCCCCAGTGATCCAAGCAAGCCTTCAATGGAAAAAGACTCTTTGATGCCTTCTCTAAAAGGTCTATGGCCCATTTCTTTTGCTTATAAGATAGGTCGGACCATCCTATCTCATAGTCTAAAAGGAAATGAGCCCGAGCCCGAAGAACGATGGCGGCAGCGAGTGGCTTCACACGATGTTTAAAAGTCATCGTCTTGTTAAGATCCCAGGAAGAACCAACGACGTTTTTTCCAAGTGGTGTCAGCCATTTATCTCAAGCAATTGTTCTTCTGGCTGAGGATAATGCGTTCAAATGTCACATTAGGAGGAACTAAGGGCATCTGAGGGGAAACAGCACTGACGGTACAGGTCTCAAAGCGATCACCAGTCAACAACTGTAGATGATGCTCCAGATTCTCAATACGTTCATTGGCAGTATCAAAGCTTCTCATGGACAGAGCCCATTGTGTCGCGAAGCCAAGACAACTCCTCGCGTAATTCACGGTGAAGTTGCAGAAAATGGTTGGCAAGTTGAAGGCCATATACATTCTGCGACATTGCGGAAAATTGAATTGGAAAGGAAAGAGTAAAAGATTCGCCGCCGTGGAAGGCTCAAGGGGTGACCCTTTAGCCAGAACAAGCAATTAAAAACAAATATGCTCCAAAATAGGAAATGGTGCGTCTGCTTCATTTCCTCTTCTGAGCTTGATGATCCCCACAGTAGACTATCAAAGTAATTGAAAGCACACTAAGTCGAAAATCTTCTTGAACCTCAACGTTACTTTATAACACCATGGTCTCGTTTTATTGCACCTACTGCCAGATGGTCTACATGAAGAACTTAGTTGTTCCCTCAACTCAAGAAAAAGACTGCATTCAAGGACGGCTGTCGGACATTCTCGCTGAATTGCCCACAGTAAGTGCGTCTGAACGAGGAGTTAGATACATATGACTTATGAGACCCGTTATATCTATTACAAGAAGACCTCTCAAGCTTTCGTCGAGTCGGGTCATATGGAAAGTGATGAAGAAATGGGCGAAGCAGACGATAATGAAGTACGATTATTTTCATTAGCCAATGGATGCAGTGAAGAAATTGGTGATACTAATGTAACGTTTTCCTTTGATGTCTCTGACAGATTCCTGTTGAGCCAACAGCAGATGACACAATACACCAGTCTACAGTGGACGAGCTTCTTTCCGCTGCAGAGGCAGCTGTTGCAGGTGATTTTCACGACGACGTGGTTGACGATCTCTGACGACGAAGAGTTGGACCTCGCCACTAATACAAGTGGCTGTCGTATTTGTACATATCATTATACCATCCCTACCTCTCATCCGTATGATACCACTCCATCATATCACTTGTCATCCATGATTAATCCATATCATTCAATTTACGAGAGAAACCAATTACCAATGATTCCATATTCACTGTACTAATCGGATCATATCATCATGTCACGTCAAACACGTCTGATCTACATGTCCATTTTCTCTTAGGTGAATCAACCTCACATCCAAACCCATACCGCAACTACAGCCTATTATTGGTTTATCCGTCATCTATTCTTTCCATTCACCTTTACAAGGAATAAGAATCATTATCGATCATTATCTAAGCAGTATGGAAACTCGATCATTGACTAAGCATCATGAAAAACACACTTTATTCTGTCACGGATCATACCACATCTAAAAATACCCATCTAGTATAAAAGACCTACCTTGTACTTATCCCGCTCACTAGAACTTATTCTTTTTTCCTACCTTTTAAGTATCAACCTCTTGAGAATAAAAGAAATCTCACAGGATTCTCTATTGTTTTATTTTTGTTACTACTAATCCCTTACTTCGTAGACTCTCAAACACCACAGTAACCACCAAAACAAGTACGATTTCCGGAGTTACGGGCAATCTCTGGAGGAAAATATCCAAACGAGCCTGGATCTACTCGATGATGGTGCAGCACGTAGCTCCTCGTGAATTGTACGAGAAGGTAATTGCTCGAATCATTCAATTCACAGAGAGCAAGCTTCCTCCGTTGCTGAGCCATCACACAACCCGGCAAATCTTGCGGAAGAACTATTCATTGCAACCGCAATCCATTGCTGTCTGTCCACATGGGTGCAAGCTTTATGATAACGAAGACGAAGATTGCATCCGCGAGGCAGCACGCTGGAAAGCTCCAGGGGTGTATAAAAAGACGGTGCCATTCCTTTCCCTCAAGCAGCAACTGGCCTTGCTCGTTAACGACAAAGTTACAAGGGACCAACTGCAGTACCGTTGTCAAAGGCCGAGCACCCCGGAGAACACCATGGAAGACATTCTGCTCACGGAAATCTCCTCCATTGTCGCTGTTGCTACGAAGAAGACGCGCAATTGTTGGAGGTGTAGGCTCCAAAGGCGGAAGCACAATGGAACCTTGAGCACAGCAGACCTGGAACTGTGGATTAGCGATGGATCCAGACATACGCTCTTTGAGCCACATGTGTGCCTGGCAGAAATTGCACACGGCATCCATGCGTCCCAAGATATGTCTCTCTGGAAGTTCCCACTCGTTATTTCGGCCACCGTTGAGCGTTCCTGTTTGTTCACTTGACAGCGTATTAGCATGATGGTCGAAATCTGCTTGGGCAACGGGCGCAGGTAAAGGACGAATACGTTCCGTAGTGTCACTTTCTCCAGCCACCCTCATAGCCAATCTTGCTGGATTCAACGGGCAAGCGAAATGGTTGGAACGCTGGTGACTCAGTTGTTGGCAAGCTCAGCAACGGACTTCGCTTGGTCCTTGCGTTGTAGTAATTCTACTTTGTTGGGCACGTCGGGGGTTGTTGGGGCAGTTGCGGTTGGTGGAGCGAGCATGTCCTGGCAAACTGCAAGAAGCACAATAAACGTTTGAAGATGACATTGAATTAGTTTTACAGAGGAAGAATAAGAAAGAAGAAAGGAACAGGCCTGGATAATGCAAAGCAACACGATCTCTTGCATCCGTGTATGTATCACGGTCTATCTATTCACAAAAGGAAGCACAAATCATGAGCCATAATTCAACATCCGCTCAGATCTTATCGTAAATCATGTGATTACAACATTTTATCCAATCAACGTTAATTGACTTTGAAAATACCCAATCATCAGCGGTCTTTTGTCGGCAAACAAATGTGACGGTGGAATATATCCAAATATGGCAACTCAGAGGCAAACATTTTAATAAGGTTGAGACTAGTTACGCGTGTGATCTTGAAGATTACAAAAACTTCAGTATACACAATATTATTTGTATAAATGTCGTTGCCAATATTATGGGACGCATGAGGCCATGGCTTTGATGGAGCTTGGGGTTCTAACTCGAGACATGGCAACATAGAGTTGGCATGGGAAAACACCGGTTCCAGTAAAAATAAGCCAATGGAGTCAAAGGTCTAACCTTGGGCTTTGTTTATAATCATTGCGAAGGCAAGACGTACAGGAAATTGCACTCATTTAAATGGAATTGCTTTTTCATCAGAATCATTGATAATTGCTATGCGCGGTAGCAGTACATGTTTTCCAATGTTGATTCCATTGGCAATTTCTGTTTCGATAATATGCAGATGGAAAGATCGGCATATTAAACGTGTGCCATTGCATAAACCATTTGCTTGATCTATGTTTCTAAGCAGCATGATTGGGCAGCCAATTTTAAGTTTAAGGGAATGCGGTGGCAGGTTGGCTGAATTTATAGAGTTCAAAATTTCAATTAGTGTGCTCCAGTTGCATTTCCTCTGTGTCCATGCTGTCAGCACTTTTGTATTCGCAGACATCTCCAGGGAAACTGTTCAGCAGCTTCTCATGGAGAAAAGCCACATGCCGTTTTTTTGGAGGGCATTTCTGAGAAAGAACGGCCATATACTGCATATATTAGATCTTCGACATTAGAAGGCACCAGCATCACGGGTGGAAGTAACACCAAGTTCCCATTTGTGTACGGCTCCGTTCCACTACCAATGCGCAAAAGATAAGAGGAGAATTGGTCCAATATGTTAGCATCCGCACCACTGCTTAAGCGAGTTCGTTCTACACGCATGTTTGTCGTTAATCGAAGAACCCTTACAAATGACACTGTTCAACAATTTGGGGCCTGGTTGCTTTGGGGATCACTGCAAGAACTTGACGGAAATCAGTAGAGCGAGCATGGCCTGCTTGACCGCAACTTGCACAAATTATATTCGTCATAAATGGCAGTTGAACAAAAAAAAAAAAAAAAAAAAAAAAAAAAAAAAAACTTTATCGGATATATGAAAAGTAGAAGAAAGCCAAAGACAGAATAAATTTGGATTTTTTTTCCCAATATGTCTTGCCACCATGCCTCTTAAAAAGTTACAGGACATCCGTGCGCCTATGTATTGGGGAAAAAAATGAACTATGCAATGATTCGATCGCATAGAATCTGCTGTGCAATTTTGGCTGCGACACTTAAAAAGGTAGCGGAGATAAATGACGGAATCTGAAAATAGAACTTACCGACAGAATGTCGTGGTCCTAGCTTCGCTAGGGGCCGTAACCTCTTGCTAGACACTGGCAGAGGGCCGTAAAAAGAATTCAGTGTAGAATTGGCTGATTTTAGGGGAGATGGCTTCCAGAAGACGAGCTTGAAGATGATGACTATGGGACGTTTCTTCTTCCGGCGGCGCTTCTTGCGTTGAACAGGATGATGAGTGGATTCGAAAAAAAGCGACCGAGATACGAGAAAAATTGGGTGGATACGAGAACGAATCAGTCGGATACGGGGAAAAGCGAATGAAACGAAATCCTTTTCGATTGAAGTAAGGATATTTATATGTTTTTCTTGTAGTTATTCCGGTACTGGCGCTGATGTAAAAAGAGGAAAAAAATTAAAGAACTTGTTCGTATCATGACAATGAGCATTACAGTGTGCGGGAAATTATGGCACAAGCACAAAAATTGGGGTCCATTGGATTTGGTACCTTGAATTGACCACTGATTCACCACAGAGTTCATCAGAGCTACAAATGTTCAGCAATATACCGTATCCTAGCAGAGTTTACTGTAAAGCTGCACAATAAAGACGCTTCGTTTATCAGCAACACACTATTGCATGATAAATTTTACAGCATTCGCACCGAACAGATCCGTAAAGGTGTCAAGATGATTTCGGGAGATGGAACCTTAATCATTTCCGCGTTTCCCAAAGTAGAAAATCGGATCACCAAAGGTGTCCTAAACATCTTTCAAACAAGAGAAAAGTTGAAGTCGTTATTTATTTTTAGAGCTCTTGACCGCATTTGTCTGAAAAACCATTAGCAGTAAAAGCCTTAAACTACACAATGATCTGCTTTACTAACGCTGATGCTTGACCATGTTTAGTTTACATGCCAGCAATGAGCAGATACGCTAAGTAACAAAAAGAGTGTATGTGGGGAGGTGAACAAGAAATTAAAGCAGATTCCAAAGCAGTATCCTTTGTTGGAGTCGTGCGGATCTGGGTCTCGCCCCAAGTAGAGTTCCTTATCGGGCTCGGTTCATTCGGGTCAGTCAAAGCTGTGCCAGTTCAACTTTATTTTAGCCAGACTTTCTTCATTTTTTTTTTCTTGTCCCATTACACACGACCGGCAACTCATGTATGTAAATGCTTGACAATTACGTAATCTGTTCCTTCAGACAGCACTTTTTTTTGACTCTGCAAGTTGTCATATCATTTTTTTTACGGTACAGTGGGTGAAAAAATGGTCCAAACTTATGCCGTTTTTTTGTCACGTTTCCATTGATACCGCAGCTTTTTGCTGTATACTGTCCGAATATTATTTTTCTTTGAAAAGCCTATTCTCTTGCCTTTATTGTTGTGAAATCCCGGTGATCGCATCGCAATTCATCGCAATGCATTCACCATTTCAACATGAGCAGTCGTTTTGGACCATTTTTTCAATAAATCTAAAACATCTATTTTTGTGGATAGAATAATGGCGGTGAAATAAATATACGTGAAGTTCATGAGCTCCATTAGTTCCATATTGCATTCAGTGCATAATGAGCGTATCTGGCGACCGCCAGCACACTGCATCTTTGTTTTTGAGCACTTTTTTTCATAGTGCCGCGACTTTCTTTTTTACTCATAAAAAAAGAGAATTCTTTTCTCTAGTCTGTCCCAAAATCCTGAGCTTTTACTCCATTACATGAATCTTCTTCTGGATTCAGATTACGCAAGAGGATCAGCAGTGGCGTTGTTCAAACATAGAGAGTGAGAAGAGAAATCTGCCGGAAAAAGCTACATTAAGCAACTGAAATTTATGTAAAGCAAACATCAGCTGCAATATGCGAACTCGATGTCCATGCAAACTGCGTCTGCGGTAGGCTATTCCAGGTATCCTCTGAATCTAATGTAGCAATGTCATCGATGCAATTGAGGATGTAATGTTGGTGAAGAAGGAAGAATTAAGATCGTAATCAGAAAGACATAAGGTATGTTGAAACGACTCTTAGTAGAGATATGAATCATTAGTTTTATAATCTGTGTCTATTTACAGTCAATAATGGATCATTATATGCATTTATAAAATTATAAGAAGTCATCTATCTTGTAGATAGCTTCCTTGAAAGACGAAAGATCATTCGCAAGAGGAATGAGTGATTTAAAAAATTTCATTCATTGTGCTGTTCGGCATGTGTGATCAGTTGTGACCAGTTGTGCCCAAATTCACCAGAGAACATGATACTTTCGCCCTTGGCTCCATAGGGCTTACTTGAGCTCTAGCCTTTGACCCTCGATAGGTCCGCAATAATGAGTGTAAGTTCATCAATAAATTCTCAAAGCACATTTACGTTCGCATATCCAATTTCTGGCTGCAGCACTAACACGCATGACTCGTCGAAAACGAGCCCTAGTGGCCTCGCTGCGCACCGTGAACCCGACCGAATTTCCCTAATTTCGTCCATCTCATTCACTGATGCCCGACTGCAGCTGCTCACGGTGCCACGATGACTTTCACCAATACCTTTTGCACAGCAATTCAAGAAATATCCTGCGGGAGTATCTTCTACGCGGCACGGTAGCCCCACACACTATATAAAATAATGACGGAAATATCCCGGAAATTGACTGAAGAGAGCAACCATAAAGCATTATATATTTGAATTTTGGAATGACAAAGATCACAACGGAACTGTTCAAGACATTTATTTCTTGCCAGCAGAAGCCTTGGACTTCTTGGTACCACGGAACTTCTTGGCACGGTTCTTCTTTTCCTTGCGCTGCTTGCGACCACCCTTACCGGGTTCGGCCAAACCAATTCTGGCAAGACGGTACTTGGGTTCGAACTTCTTGAGAGCTTCGACGGAGTCGTAGATCAAACCGAAACCAGTGGTCTTTCCACCACCAAAGTGGGTCTTGAAACCAAAGACGGACACGACTTCCTTCTCAGCCTTGTACATCTTGCCGAGCTTTTCACGGATCTGGTCCTTGGAAAGGTTGGCAAGACCAGGATGAATCACGTCGACGACCATCTGCTTGCGCTGGAGCAGACGGTTGGTGAGGAACTTGCGAGTGCGGATAGTGACGGTCGCCTCGGACTGTAACCCATTCAAAGAGAAAATATAAAAGAAAAAAATGAAAATGCAGCCAATTAGTCTTATGTTCACATTGACCGATGCCATGCGCGTGTGTGCTCTTGTCAGCCGTCCCACCACCTCGTCTATCCACCGTCTTTTTCTTCTCCTGTGGCCCATCCTGGGGTGGATCATGGATGTCACTCATCCATCCGTTCCTTTTATGCCCCATCCATCGCCTATCCTTGGATCTCCCTCTTCATCCAACAACTCCCATAAGCTTTCTCTTCACATACCATATTGGTCAAGTGTTAAAAGAGGGCTTGATGGGTTCGTACAGGCCAGGTGAATTTGGGGTCGGTTGGCACGAACTGCACCAGTGCTGTCCTCGTTTCTCCGCCGGCCATTCCCCATCATGAAGGCCGGACCAGAGTATATGTGACTGTGTTTTACTTTGATTCGGCCCGGTTGCGTTGAATCGGACACTGCCTGGACCCATTGAACGCGGTGGAGATCAAGAAGGGATCTGCCAAGAACTTTTCATAATGCATTCGTAACGTGGCAACTCCTGATTCTTATCATGCGTCTCCAAAAATAATAGTAAAGAAAAACGCATGATCTCCTTGGTCAGGTATTGTCTTTTTGTGCGAAAAATAACCGTCAGCGTCATCTTCACGTTTTCCGATTAATTATTTGGTGATGTTTACGCCTTTCTTTTTAAATGTGCTGAACGGATAAAGGCACATGGCTATTGTTTGCCACGCTGAAAATTACCACGAGCCCAACCAGAGGAAGGAGAAGTATGACGCGTATAGACGAGTGCATGATGACAGCAGCAAGGTTATTTATTACGAAAGAGATACGAAAATGGTGCTCTCAATTATTTGAACAGCACTAAAGGTGATGTTTTTTGTCAAAGCACAGATATTTATCATCCCAATAGTGCTTCAAGTATTACCAACCGAAAAACTTAACCGAGCAAATCTGAGTTCCCCAATTTGGATCATGTCGTTCTCCTTCACCCTTTTTTTGTCCGCATGGGCAAAAAAAAAAAAAAAAAAAAAAATAGAATTGTCATGCTGTGGCTGCCTCGTGGTATACTAGCGACGCACATCACAAGGTATCACAAGCGTCATTGACGAATCGATTTCTCACCAAGTGCTCATGAAAGCAAACACCCTATTCACGAGTAGATGATGAGAAAAAGGAAAAACGACATTTTGATGCCCTAACTTATGCTTTCAACTGGAGGATTATGAAAAAACCGAGGCTTGAAAAGTAAGTAATCGTCAGAACAAAATAGATCTACTGTTCAAGACAATGGACCTTGACCAAAACGAAGGACCAAGTTTCTGTGTTAACGAGAAGGTTTATTTTCATAGATTAGTCCAACTACAAAAAATAAACAAAAAGAATATAGAGGCGACAAAAATGAATTAGACTTCGCTGCCTATACTCCTCAGCTTTTTTCAGCGAAAAAAAAGACCCTTCATTGAACTTTTGCAACCATCCAATGACATACAAGTGACAACATACTACAACCGTAAAACAATCCATATGCCATGGCATTCACGGATAGTCAGCGTTTCATTCTGATTATCAGAACCTAGCTCCTAAAGCAATAGCTTTTTGTGATACACTCGATGATTTTACTAAGATGAGGGCACTAGGATAAGAAAAAATATGAAGAAAGAAACATGTCTTTTTATTGGGGTTGCTGTTGTGGGTGGTTCCAGCCAAACAGGAGAGGTTTTACGAGATTTACAAAGCGATAGCCTCTTTTTGTATGGTCAGGTTTCTATATACAGAATTTAAAGAGTAAGAAAAGATCTAGATGGAGGAATGCAGCAAAAAAAAAAGGTTGGATAATGAAAATCTATCGTAGAAACTTTTTCCAGACCGCCCACGAAGGACGATCATCGGCTGAGGGGAATATATTAGGTATATTTTGAATCGCATCCTTTTTAACAAAGGACCGTTTTCGGCCCTTGAGTGTAAATTGGGTTTCTCGCACCGAAGCGTTGCAGTCCATCGAAACCACATCATCATCAAGTGAACAGAAGCTTAGACGTGACTGACGTTTCAATCTCGTCAATGGGTTAGCAAAGGAGAAAAACGAACCAGAAGGGCTGGCTGGAGGGGTTGAAAATGACGACAGAGCCGGCGACAGTGGAGGACAGCCCGAGATCATTAACCAGGGAATAAATGAATTAACCCTCATCAATTCGGTGACAGCGTCCATAGCTTGAAGAAAAATGGAAGGGTCAGTGTCATCCTTCAAGACCTTGTTGAGGATCTCTTGACGCATTTCGCAGGGAATATTGATTTCTTGCGGAGAATGGGAGTGGATATACTTGTTGATGATTTCATGACATTGCTCCCTCGAACCTCTATTCTCTTCATAGTCTCGCACCGTTAGCCAGAAGGATAAGTTTTCATGGCAATAGGTCTGTTGAAGATATGCCGAGAAATCCCTAAACTCGATCGAATTTCGGTTCGATAGGATAGCTTCCAGAGTCAATGAACAAGGCGTAAGGGTATCATGTTGATCCAGGGACATTGCCATCGAAGGGAAATAAGGGAAAAAAAAAGTGAAAATAGAAAAGGGAAGAGAGAGAAAAAAAAAAAGGAAAACAATGCTGGAAATAGGGACAAGTGGTAGCCGTTTACAAAAAAAGTCCTGCTCTCCCGGTTGTTACTTAGTTACGCACCACCAAATCGGATGCCCAAGCAATAGAGACAAAAAAATTTAGGGAAGAAAAGAGGCGAAAAAAGGAATTTGACAGGAGAAAAACAAAAAAAAAAAGAGGAAAGCTTAAAGCTATGGATAATCCCAATCCAAAAAGAAATTGATAAACAAAGGGGTTTTTTTTAAACGCAATAAAAACGATGGGTTGAAAGAAATGGTGTGGACAGAGCCCACGGAAAGAAAAACCATGGAACTACCGGCGGACTGTGAAAAAAAAGGAGACTGAGGTTTTGGCCATGAAGAGAGGGAATCCGCTCATGGATGATGATGATGCATTGTTCTTGTCCTAAAAAGATCAAAATGTCGTACAAAATAGTCCAAAAAAAACCAACTCAGAAACCAGACTTCTCCATGCAGGAAAGATGAATCATTCACGCCTTCTTTGGCCACGATGATTTTCTTTGTGAGTTCGGCTTTTGTTTTTTTTTTTTTTTTTTTTTTTTTTTTTTTTTTTTTTGCAACCACCAATTGTCAATAACAAGAACGTGAATTGCGTCAAAGCAAACAATGAAAAAGAAAAGTAAACCGGATTCAGCTGGGTCTAATATGATTGGTAAAGAAACATGGGTTGATTGGTTAGATCATATGCGTGTTCATGTATGTTTGTGCAAAACGGTGATCAACAAATAGGTTTTTTTTTTTCAGGTTGTTTGGCTCTATTTTTTTTCTCTTCGATTCACGAAGGATCGGCTCCGTCGTAACTTTATTTTTCTTGATCAAAGTGTTTTACATTTGCGTAACCACAACCTGTATTTTTAGTTTATGGCAAAAGAACGAGAAACGAAGGGAAAATAAAATAAGAATAAGGGAGAGAGAGAGAGAGAGAGATAGGAAGCAATCGAACAAGGAGCACAGGGGAAAAAGAAACGGAAAGAAGGAAGAATTTGGGTGTCAATAAACATAATGTATACATGTATGATACAAAAGAAGTGAGAAGATAGTAAATACACTGGATATCACTTGAAGAGAAGGAATCACGGCGAAAGGGAGGGGGGAAAAGATGGATCTATGTAGCAAAGAGTATGGGAAGAAAGAATAATACAAAGGAAAATGTGGCACTGGATTTCAACATCAAGGATGATATGTGGAATCTAGGAAGTTCGTATCGAAAGAACTGGACTGGAACACAACCGGAAGATGATGGGTGGTATAACTGGAGGAGAAACACTGTTCGCTTTTTCGACGATAAAGCATTTCTAATTCGATATTGGGGCGTGTTGAAAGGACGAGGGCGGGGATGGCTTCTGGATGACTAGCACTTCGCGTGCCGAGAAGACGACGTCGTTTGGCCGACGGTTGACCCGCCGAACGCGATACATCGTCGGGAATCACTGTAATACCGGCAGGTACACTGACCCGACGACCGGAGGGATTAAGTACAGGTGGGGTCGGCATCAAAGTGGACGGGAAATGGCGTTCGTGAATGGGTGGCGAGGAAGGGATGACAGTCGGTTGCTCCTTGAGCTGAAGCCACTGTTGGCGGTTCTCGGCCAGAATGTCCAGAAAGACCCGAGTCCAAGGTAAAAGACGTGCAATCGCCTCAAAGTAAGGTGTCACTACAAAATCGCCAAACTTCAAACTAATATCAAATTGATTCGATTGCTCACGGTCCATTCCCGGCGACACTTCTAGACCGGCTTGTTTCTCGGCATCTCCTTGCTGGAAAAATTCCTTCACAATCAAATCGGACCATCGCTTTGAGATCGGCCAGGGGCGAACCGTATTGCTAATATCTGCAGCATGCAGCAGGATGCAGCACAGACTTCGTCGTTGAGTCTCATTCAGTATCGATTCGCTCATTTCCTCCAGTGGTCGTCGCTCAATATCGTCGATTTTCTCCTCAATCTCCTCACTTTCGTCATCACTGTCGTCGTCATTATCGTCATCCACCTCTTCCTGGGCCTCATCCGTATGGGCTTTGTCAACCACCACCAGCGGATCGTTTGTTATGCGATCCAACCGCACAGACTCGGCATGTTTGGCAATAGGACGATCCATTGCATCAAGATGATGGAACCTGGCAATGCCACTTTCCGCAATCAACCACGTGCTATTTTCGAATGCCTCTTGCAACAACTGCGCTTGCTCTTGCAGTTCGTAGTGATATACCATATCGGTCGATAAAATAAGCTGTTCCAAATAATCAACAAATTCCGCCTCTGTCACGCATCGTCCCGTCCCGGTTCCGCTCGCGATGGTAATGTTTCGTAATAGCTTATGTTTATGAATCAGATCCCGTGTAATGTCGACCGAATAATTCTCCAACACTGATGTATTCTTATACCGTTGAGCCAAGGGGGTGTTAAAGTTGACTTGATACAAGTTATTGTAACCTGGCTGTCGATCATTGAGAACAGAAAAGAAAAAAAAGTTAGTTGGTTTGAGAATCAATAGGCAAAATAGTTCCCATTTCCAGCGAATCAGGGATACACATCACCAATGAGTGATTCACTATTTTTCCTTTTTGCTCTCCCATGAGAGAACAACACAACAGTTACCCCGGGGTGAGAAATGACCGTGGAACCCAAAGTAGAGGAAAAAAGGAAGCACAAAGAAAAAATGTGACAAGTGGGTTACTTACGTGACCAACATCATGACATAAAGCAGCCAGTAACAGTGCGGCGATATCGAGAGGTGAAAGGTAACGTCTGGGTAGATCGGTCAGAATGTGATACAACATCGTCACGATATCAACGGCGTGGTAAAACGAATGATAGGGTGAATCCAGGTAATTGGCATCGATGTCAATGAAAAAATCCAACATCTCTGACGGAGTAACTCCTGTCGTTTCAAACACATTGAGTCGTTTGAAAATTCCAAGGAGATGAGCGTAGGTGTCCGTGCGACTGAGATCCAATACATTGGTATCCAAGGTGACACGCGGTCCTTTATTGTCCAACCATCGTACAAATTGCTAAACCAAAAAGAGCGAATTGAGTCAGCTGAAGAATAACAGATACACACACCCACCCATCCACACACACACACACACATAGGCACACAATCATTCTGGGGTAAAAAAAAATGGTGATCGATCAAATTTGTATTACCCTTTCAATGGCGAAAAGATCTTGCACAGAAAGCGTATTGTGTTTTAATATGAGCATTCCTCTTTTTTTGAATTTCAATGATATGCTGCGTAGTAAGCCTTCTTTTCCAGATCTATTCTCGCACTGTGAAGTACAAATCGAAGAAAAGGGAGGCGAGAGCGTAAAAGAGAGTCAAAAGAAAGAAAGAGAACGACAAGTCAACGGAAAGTGGACTAAAAGAAGAAAAAAAACGATCGATCAGCTCCCTTTTCTTCGCTGCTTATGGGTAAGAAAAAACAAGTCAAGAAGAGCAGTAAAAATAAAGAACCAAATATGTTATATGATGAAAGAAGAAAGGGGGAAAAAGCTGAAAGAGTTGTGAAGAAAAAGGAAAAAGGGACGGAGGAGTTGGAAAAATTAAAAAAGGCGTCGATCTATTTGTGACTTGCTTTTTACGTCAGCCGGTTCGGTCGCGCTTTTTTTTTTTCCTTTTTGCCCAAAGGTCTCTTTCTCTTCCTACTTGGACCGGCCAACCAAAAAAAAGCGACCTTTTATTTCACCACCGTTGTCTTGATCCGTCATGGCCGCTCAGCATGATTTGACCTTGAAAATGATCCCTCTGCTGGATCGCCATCTTGTTATTCCCCTCCTTGATTTTCTGGAAATGAAAGAGGTAGATCGTTTGTGTGACTATAGAATGGCACCTGTCAACTCTAGTACTTATGCGAGACCCCATGGGGACCTATTGGATTTTATAGGTTTACACAGCTCAGGATTTGTATCAAGCCAAATATGAAGTGCTCAGCAAAACGAATATGGTTGACAGCATCGTCGAAACGTACAAGAAGCTTCATCCCAATCAAGACACTCCCAAAGGTACACGTATAGGGATCAGACCCTGTGGCAACGATCGATGACCCCTTTCTAATACGTGCCCACTAGAATTCATCACTAAAAGAGAGCAGGTGCTTGCTCAGTTGGAAGAATTGCAGTCGGAAGCGCAGAAAGTGATGGCGATTTTGGAAAAACCAGAAGTTATTGACCAACTTCGTGAAGATAAAGAAGAAAACTTGGAGTATTTGCGACAGAATTACAATGTAACGGTCGTTCAATTACACCGTGCCTCTGTATGCTTTACACCATGGCTAATTATGGTGTTTTCTTGTCTGTGGTTTTTAGCTTACAGAAGACAAGATCAAGATTTTGTACGATCTGGGCCGATTTCAATTCAATTGCGGTGATTATGGAGGTGCGGCCGATATGTTGTACCACTATCGCGTTTTGGTACGTTTTGCAACCGTGATAAAAAAAGAACCCGACTAGTGGAATTCATGAAAATGCATTATTCTCGGATTTAGATTGCGGATAACGACATGTCCCTTTCAGCGTCATGGGGCAAATTGGCCGCTGAGGTCTTGACAGGTCACTGGGACATTGCCTTGGAGGAAATTCAAAAGCTCAGAGAATCCATTGATCAAAAGGTAGACTTGTGAAATGATTCACGTTTCTTTATGGTTATATTCACATGTGATTAGCACTTCACTTCACCGCTAGAGCAATTGCAACAACGTACTTGGTTGATTCACTGGTCACTGTTCGTTTTCTTTAACCATCCCAAAGGACGTGATGGAATCGTTGATATGTTCTTATCACAAGCGTACAGCAATACTATCCAGACATCATGTCCATGGATCCTGCGCTATTTAGCTACCGCCATCGTCACCAACAAACGCAGAAAGAATCAGATGAAGGAACTGGTGAAAATCATTGAACAAGAATCGTACGAGTACAAAGACCCTGTCACTGAATTCATCGAAGCGCTCTACGTCGATTTCGATTTTGACGGTGCTCAGAGAAAACTCAAGGAGTGCGAGGATGTGTTAAGTAACGATTTCTTTTTGGTGGCAACACAAGAAGATTTTATGGAAAACGCACGACAATTCATTTCTGAAACTTACTGTCGCATTCATCAAAAAATCAACATCAAGTGAGTACTCATCTGTTGACGGTTACACACACACGAAAAAGATGGTTCGATGAGATTCCTAATTCTTCCTTTTGCTTTTTTTTTACACAGGGATATGTCAAAGATTTTGAATCTGGATCAAGAACAAGGTGAAAAATGGATTGTAAACCTCATTAGAGATACACGTGTGGACGCAAAGATTGATTTTGAAAAGGTAAAGCGGGTGCAAAAAAAAGTAAAAGATTACTTGCGCCAATAGTTTATTCACCGGCAAACTTTCGTATATTTGTAGAATACGGTGAATATGAATACACCAGTGACCTCTGTGTATCAGCAAGTGATTGAACGCACCAAAGGTCTTTCTTTCCGGTCCCAAATTCTTGCCACCGCCGTCAAACGACGTGAAGCATTAGCTGCTCAAGCGGCTGCCACCGAAAGTTCATACTAATCAGTAATTCTCATCTAGTTGTTTTTATATTTCGCTTTCTCATCTTGTTTCTCAATTCTATTATAAAACCCCTTGGCATACTGCATGTTGATTACAGAGAAAAAAAAAAGGCGAAAGAACTTACCAAAACAGAAAGATTTGCATGATGTCATCGCTATGAATTGATTGGCTGTGGCGTGGCACTTTGTTGGAGCAGCCGACGAACGTCGGACGGTTAAACTCAGCGAGGGTTTTGCGAGCGCGTTGGCCCTTTTTTCTCTAGACTTTCTTTTTCTACTTTTTTTCGTAATCTTCACAAACTGCCATGTTTATTGTCAATTGGTTTTGGGACGTCTTGGCCTCGCTGGGTAAGTTGAGGATGACAAAGATGATGGATTGGATTCTGTGATTGAATGATGTTTTTTTGTGTATGTAATTAGGGCTTATGAATAAAAACGCCAAGATTTTATTCTTGGGTCTGGATAATGCTGGCAAGACCACACTGTTGCACATGTTGAAAAACGACCGTCTTGCTACTTTGCAACCCACACTTCATCCCAGTAAGCCAATCTTCCTTCAGCTTATTGCATTATCGAAGTTACCCATCCACTTACCGTAACGTGTTTCTTTTTGGTTCATCTCGTGTGACTTGTGTTTTTTTCTGTTTCTCGCTCGTTTCATCCGTATTTGTTCAGCTTCGGAGGAGTTGGCTATCGGCAACGTCAAGTTCACCACATATGACTTGGGAGGCCATCAGCAAGCACGTCGATTGTGGAGAGACTACTTCCCCGAAGTTTCGGGTATTGTATTTTTGGTCGACGCAGCTGACCATCAACGTTTCCCAGAAGCCAAAGCAGAATTGGATGTAGGTGTCCCTCAGTCAAAAAAAAAAGTGTAAGGATCATCTGAACCGAACTAATCTTCTCTTTCTTGTTGCATCTAATAGGCGTTACTTGCTATTGAACAACTTTCCAAGGTCCCATTTTTGATACTTGGCAACAAGATCGATGCGCCAGGTGCTGTCAGTGAAGAAGGTCTCCGACAGCAGCTGGGTATGTTCCAAACCACTGGCAAGGTATGTGGAAACCAAAAAAAAAAAACCAAGAAAACGATTTTTGTATGAATATCTGGATCTAAACTTTGGGTTTCTTTTTTTTTATTGCATGATTAGGGTAAAGTGCCATTGAATGATATCCGACCTATTGAAATGTTCATGTGCTCTGTGGTGATGAGACAAGGATACGGAGATGGATTCCGTTGGTTATCGCAATATGTATAAACCATGTGTCATCCCATGATTAAAAAAACTTCATAAACTTTTTCTTTTTCTTGCAATCAAAAATTATTCATAATCGAAGAAAAGAAAAATCATGTTGGTATTTTTTTTTGGTTTGTTTACCCGTACGTAAGCTTCAAAGATGAAAAAGAAGAGAAAGACCAGAGAATGCATGCAAAAACCGGAGTTTAGGCCGGACGTCGAAAAATTGAGCAGTGCGTTGTCCGACAGGGACTTTTTTCCTCCTTTCAGTCCAATTTGGGTCAATTCACTTTTGTGGTTTTCCTTATTTTTGTTTTTTTTCCACTGACCTCATTTGCCGCCGCCGCCGCCTCCCGTCCTCCCCACATATATCCTTTAGGTAGTAATGGAATATCAGAAAGACTACGCATCAGCAAAAACGAAAGCAGCACCCGGTCACAGTAATCCGCCTGCCACAAAATGGTTCCAGACTCACGATGACAGCGACTCTGATCAAGTGGGATTGGTACCTCACAATCGCGGTTATAAACATATCCTTTTTGAATGAGAAAGAATGCGCGCCCCACGCATTGCGCCTCACCGCCAAAGAATGCCTTTTTTTATTATTATTATTACTAACATTTTTTCACTGTTATTATCCTTAACCTTGCATACTGAAGAAATGGGGTGTCTCCGATGCTCAATTTGGAGGAAATAGACTACGTGCTCCACGGGGATTACGGGAAGAAACTGAAGTGAGAAAAACTCCACTATGGAAGGTGTATCCACATTGAACTGTCACTCACTCCCATTTCGTCTTTTAGTATACAAAAGGAGGCAAGAGACGTCCTGTGCTGAAACGAAAACGTAGATACATTGACGACGATTTACTTGATGAGGAAGAAGATCCCTACAAGCTCATCAACATGGAAGGTGAGTTGATGTCGTAAAGACTTTGAGCTTTCAATATTGTCAGAAAAACGCCACACAAAAGGACTGCCGTGGAAGAACAAAAATGACTGAAACCAGACTATTTCGGATGTTAGATATCCTGAGTCCCATCGAAACGCCTACCGACGTGGTGCGTCGACCGGCTCTACGTCGCATCATGAAATCGCCGCAAATCGAAGCCTTGACGGAAACCGCGATGGAATTCATTGAAAGTGAAAAGAACTTTAATAAGATTCTCTGTCGCTTAGCCGCTATTTTGCACAATGACGATCCTCGCTATCTCGATTTATCATTTGAACGACCTCCCGATCAACGCAAAAAATTAAAATCACAAACACAAGACAAAACCGACGATTCCACCCAAGACAAAAAGCTAAATGATGAATACCAGGAAACCCAGGATAAAGAAGAGAAGCCAGAAACCAGCGAATCAAAGGAACCGACGAATGAAGAAAACACCGCACCGGAAGCGGATACAGAAGCGCAAGAAGTGGTCAAAAAAGTCAAAGAACTGCTACTGGTGAGTGGGTTCGAAGTATCCAAGAATGGACCGTGGCTCATTGTGATGTTGTATTTGTCTTTTAGGAAAATATCAATTTCAGCAACGAATACCTCTCGCGCTTACATAATGCACGTGACAGATTATGCAAAGCCCATATGCAAAAAGAGACCTTGTGGAAACAGCTCAAAGTGAATGCCAAAGAAGAAGATATTCGAAACCCTAAATCCTACCGGGACGATACTGTACTGAATGGTTATAACTGAAAAAAAAGGAAAATAATGAATCCGCATCTATCAATTTGAATAAACGCATAATCACGCACCAAAATTAAACAGTCTTCATCACTCCGTCTCTTGCTCGTATATAACCCCAGTTTGTACAAGGTGTCTTATGGAAACCCAGATTTAGCATTATTACCAAGTTCCAGTCAGATCGTCCACGCTCGCGCTTGCCAGTTGGTAAAACTACAAGCTATTAGAAATATGATCTACAGTCACTCTGAAGAACCGTGCCAAGTTTTTCGCTCAAGACGCAATCAGAGGTTACCCTGTCGTACTGTAGCTTCCTAGTCGTAGCGTACTAGAGAAAAAACTATAACTAGTATATGAAAAGATCGTCTACCGAGACTCTGTCGTACAATTGGCAGGTTCTTGTGCAATTTTAGTACATTAATAGATAGAAACCCTACTGTCTCACGACGTAACTTGACCCAACTCACGTCATCAGCTTCAGGCGATGGTTGTACTGTTCTCCTTGGGCTACAGATAGTTGATGGGTCAGATACCATTCATTGGTCCTTTGATGCAATTGCGTAAACCACAGTGGCTAGCCTTTTCAGAGGGAGGGTCCACAATGATCAAAATAATAAACAAGTTGAGTACCATCGCTGATGGACGTAGTACTTGCCACCAACTGAGGATTTCGGTTGCCAGGTGCATTTCCATCGTCAATACCTATACAAACTTATCATATTTTGTTAAGTCTCGGCGGAATTTGGTGGAAGCAAAAAGCCTTTTCTCGCGTGCTCTGGTTGCTAATGGCAATGTTGCCCAAATGCAATCATCACCCAAGTTTTATTTAATCAAACGCACTCAAGCAAACACCAACATTTCTATAGCTTTTTTTTGACCTTTTGAAGACTCAAAAAATGACGATTAGCTTAATCATTTGGATGCCTTAGATGGGGGATAAACTTTATGCGTGAGGAACCCTTTAGGAGGGCTTGGTCATTCTGTAAAACGAAGAAATTTTCATGTGAGGTGAACAAAACTGCGCGCGTCACGCTTGGTACTTGTTTTATCTACATGCGCCTTTTTGTGTGCCTATACTATTTTTTTTTACTGTCAATGTATCGGCAGTAATTTCTTGGTCCCTGCATTCGATGACTTACACCCATAGCAATGTTTTATATGAAAAATAGGCGATCCAATGAGTACGGAAGTTGACCAGGGAATAACTAGCTGGATCACTGTAGATACGCATCGTACATGGTCAACGAGGTCTATCTAGACACTTGGGTTTCTACTTGCTTTTTTAAGAGGTGCGACCCGGCCGTTTTTCTTTCATGTTTACGGGGATAACTCTTGGGATGAAACAAAGGGAGGTTTTTATGAGCATCCTTCACTAGCGAATTGGACTTGCTTGGTTTCGGACAACAAATCACATCTGCCAAAGACATTGATACCTTGCCATTCTTTATTATTTTGTATGCTCAAGGATTGGTATTAGATCAAGGGTGTAATAGCATATACGGTAAATGGAAAAGATGGTAAGAAAAGCACCATATCATTGTATAATCAGTATCGGGCTGTAGTTCTATGGAAAATGTGAACAAATATTTCAAGACATGTAGGTACAACAACGATCACTACAACATAAATTTTTTTCTTATGACGGATCAAGTTAAATCAACAGGTGCAGAATATAGAACTGATCTCAACCCCTCATTACTTATTTTTGAGTAAACAGAATTCCAAAAGATTACAGCATGCTCGTTTATTATTTCAACCCCTCATATTAAGCTATCAAACGCGTTATCTCCCACAGAAAATATGAACATCTCTCCGCTACAAAAGTAGACAATGTCCCGCCAAACTAAAAGAGATAAAACAAAAAGTCGAAGACAATCAACATCGCACAAGGACGAATTGGATGCCATCCTCTAGAAAGATAGAGATCGTCCGCCGAAACATGGAATCCGTTAAATCAAATAGACTGGCTCACCAACAAAAGGACGCCGTCCAACAAAATGTTTCTGAACTCGGCAGGTCCCAACATACACTTGGCTGGACTGATTATAGAGCCTATCGCAACAACTCTAGCTCCTATAAGGAGAAGATACGAAGAGAAGATTCATCATGCTTACTCCTTATGATAAAACCACCGTTCTTGTCAAGATTCTTATTTCTCTAGAACCGAATGATCTAGGTACGCACGGAAAATGCATAACTGGAGGTCTCATTTCGCTCATTTCTCACATGGCAAGTTTCCTGACTCTGTTATCACACATGTTTATATAAATATTACGGTTCAAAGCCATAAAAACCTTATTGTCATCATAGTCAGGGAGAGCTTTTTCAGAACAACAAGGTGGTTATTGCACGTTTTATGAGTATGCGGAGTTGACTGTGACAGAACTGCTCCCTAATTTAATAAGGATGATACGGTCAAGGGTCACATCAACACTATTTTCTGCGTATCATGATGTCCTTTGCCGATGTTGTATGTTGTTACTTTTATTACATTTTTCGTAAGCCTACAAAGTGTTAATGGTATGCCAAAGTGCTTGGATTCTGTCGACACCGTGACTATCCCCGTGTGTCTCTAGCTCACTTACAAGGCATACAAACCATCCACTGTATACCTACATTCCCAATGGCACGGTATGCGCGAGTTGCTCTGCCTACTAAATATGATGCATTAACATGGTTCGCCAATAATGGCCTCCTTTCAGCTTCCCCTACCGAGTCACCAAAGAGAATAAACAGCCTGAATGATGGACCAAGAAAATTGCTTTTGTCATTGGTTTCATCACCTTATGTTTTATTAGAAGATGACCTCAAAACCAACAAGGAAGAAAGCAAGCAAGCATTTGGGATGGATATAGTCATATTCATTATTCAGCAAATGGATGATGTGACTGGCGACACACAGCAGCCTGTTAGGTTTAAACCCTGAAATGCGACTCGATCTCGCACTGCATAATTGAAGCACAATGGAAAATGAGATTCATCAGCAGCTACGGCAGTAATACGATATTATTATGATTAAATTAGATTAACAGGAAATAAAACAGTGGGTAATACAATATCACAGAACTATTGGATTTCCTTTTTACTTTGCCTGCCCCATTGCCTGGGCTTGTCGGCAAACCATGAATGGGATCAAGAACATTACGGAGAGACGGGTTAATGAGAAGAACAAGAGAGGAGGAAACCTTTTAAATGGCATTGTTCGATGTGTCCCTCGCCCAAACCCTGACTTTTTCCTTGTACTTTTCTGCGGCCGATTGGTATTCTACTTTTCGATTGGTCGAAGGTTGGCCCTGAAGAACGCCAATAGGTACGTCGTCTTCGTCATCATCATCCGAAGTATCCTCTAACAGTTCAAAAGCCGGTTGATTGATCGCAGGTTGTGAAGGACGTCGGGCTTGCCATGTGGCTCGATAGCCTTCGCTGGGATGACGTTGAGGTGGAGCACTTGGGCGCCGTAGTGGAGGCCTTGATGAAGTCGTGAAAGGATGGGATGTAAATCCTATAGTTGGAAACGTGCAATACGCACTCAATGGAATATTATCTTCATCATCGTCGCCACTTCCTTGTGATGATGAAGACGTAGTTATTTTTGGGTTGGAATACAGAAACGGCTGAAAGAAAATATCCTGATGAATAAAAGGCGATGAGGAAGGCATCATGATGAATCAACCACAAAAAAAAAAGATGGAACAGAAAAAAAAGAGAGAGAAAATGTTGATGGATGATTATGATACTGGATCGTTTGTTCCTTATTTTTCTTTTTGATCTTGCATATTGACTTGATACATGCTCATCCATGTTTTTATTTTTCTATGCTTCGATTATAAAAATGGGGGAGGGGGAATATGCCCCCTTGCATTGGTGGGTAGGAGCTTAGCTTATTTTATGCTTTTTGGCTTGGGTCGCCTGCCAAGGAGAAAGCGAAAAAGTAAAGACCGCAAGCCGCAGCCATGTGTGCGTGCGTGCGTGCGTGCGTGCGTGCGTGAATAATAAAGACAATCCAGTTTTTTTTTTTTTTTCATCTTGACTCCTCTCTTTGATAACTAGTTAAAATGAAATGTATTTCTTCCATGTTCTATTCTCCTTGGCATGTCTCTTAATCTCTTTTCTATACTATCTATCCTTCAGTCGATGAATATATAAGATAAGAAAGTACCATCACCCCTCAAATGAAAACATACACACAACGGTCTTTTCTTCCGTTTTCGAATAAATGTAACTATTTTTTCTTCCTTCCAAGCTAAAAATGACAATCAGTGAATAGCGTCTTTGGAGATACGGCTTCACTAAACTTACTTGGCTTATAAAGCTGCGCTGAGGCAAGTGTAGACCAGATAATATGTAATCACTTTAGGCAACAAAGCGGATACTGCTGTGATGTTGCCGTAAAACGCAGCGGTCTTCACGACCACACAATTTGAAATCTTACTTCTCGACCTTGCCCTGATGTAACAATGTCTGGCAAGCTGTCTGTTGCATAACAAGATTGAATTAGTTCTTTGTCGTCATCGTGACAAACGGGCTTCAGCTATCGTTCCTGACACTTGTTGCAGATCTATAAACGGGGAAGATTAGATAGATGGCATTTTGGATGGGTAAACAGACTTACTTTTGAACTAAAATTCTTCATTCAAAAGGATAACAACAAGCAGGCTTTGATTTTCGGCTTTCTTCGAAGTTAAGCGACACGTCCCCGAGATCCCGGGCGAAACCATCTCCTATAGCGCCAGCTGCCGGTACTGAATGGAATCAAGGATATCTTGGACAATTTCGCCGACTTCCCACTTCTCGGCTTCCTAAAACTGGAAAAATCTAGATTTAGTGATATGCTTCAAAGGATCTCAGCGGCGTACCTTACTTTTCTTTCAGGTTTTTGGATTTATGTGGTTATTGAATGCTCTATGTCAATCTACAGGTACATATCGAACTTTGATCATGTCTAAAGAAGCGTGCACTTGTAATGCCAGGAGACCCTGCTTGTTGTGCTGATCGCTATAAAAGCAAAAGTGAGAAATCTAAAAAAAAAAATGGAGGAGGATTGCGAATGACATTGACTTTTGTAACCAAAACGGAAGGAGGAAGTTCTGTGCTGTCCTGAATGTCGCCGACCACGATACCCAAGGACACTGTCCTCTTCACATCTTCGAGCCAACCGATGAGGGCCCAGGATTACTCAGTTGTATATGTATGTAGCAAGATGCTGGATGAGCGCTTATTGAGATCCTCTCTCAATCAAATAAGAGAGTCATAGATTCCTTTTTCTGTACAGTTTTCGCAAGGTTCCAATCTCCGTCCTTGTGCTTCCACTCTCTGCATTTCTTCCCTTAACTTTCTTTTGCGCTTATTTGTTTTCTTGTAGACGTGAGAATGAAGGAGTATCTGAGTAAGTTGTAGCTTTAGTTATCATTAGATGAGCCATCCCGGCTTCGCTCATTTTTGTGCCCGTGAGGTTTACATTTTTTGGTAAACCATTGATATGTACGATCGCACTACTTTATCCCGATGAGCATTTAACATATTACGCATTTTAGTTCTATATTTTTTGAACATTTCCTGCACCCATTTCTTCTCCACCCATCTCTGCTTCCTTTGCCTCCGGAATAATATCAATTTTTGGACTGTGAAGCCGTTTATGTTCTTTTGTCTAACAATGGGTTGGTAAATCTATTATTAAGGTAGGGTAACAGACCTTTCTTCTTTCCTGAATCAGAAATCAAATCATGCCTTAAAGCTTGTTGTCAATATGTATGATCCTTTAAAAATTGAAGCCTTTGACCATATAACACTAAGAAATCCACACTTGCCAAAACTCTGCCTTTGTCTGCCAAAGCAGTTTAATGAAAACGGTATTTCAAAGGACGCTTACACAGGAACAACATCCCCAATGGTAGAAAAAAATGAAAAAGGCCATCCGAAACTAACGTTAGGTCTAGAAAAAAGTTTTATCCTATCATCACATACAGCTATTTTTATTTTGTTTGCCTGTCATGCTACTCCATTGAAAGTTGCCCAGAATGGATAACCCGTATCCTATCACACTGATATCCAACGATAAACAAAAAGTTCCATCCTTTAATAGCCAATCCGTAAACCTTAACATCATAACAACTATAATGGATCTTTTTTCCATAAAAAGGCATCCCGAAATTACATAATGAAGCCGGTTAGAAAAAAGATCTCACCAATCACCCATTCATTCTGCGTGTGTACGCATGTGGGTGCATACGTTGGTAAGATAAGTTGATGCGTGCACGTTATGTGGTATGATTTTTATGTACAACAAACAAAATATGACTATGTATATGGCGCTTTTCTCTGTGTTCCTCTTGAGCAAAAATGTTGGCCTGTGAGAGGGACTCTGGAGAGGAGAGGTATGTGGGTGGGGTCGGGAGAAAGGGAGGCAAAATTTACGTTTCTTGTGCGGATTACGTTTCTAGTCCAACAGTAAAGATTTGATAGATGGCAATCGAGGTGATGCGGTATTGGGATTTTGCTGATCGAACCACATGACGGTGTCTCGTTCATTCCAAAGGGGTGGTAAATAAACCTGCAAGTGATGGGTGAGCTGAATTTCTGTTCTAGACCTGTCTCTCAAGGATGCTTCTTCTGCAAGCACGTGAAGCCGGTCGGTCGGACCATCGCCACCATCTTCGCTACAACTACTGGAACAGCTTGAAGACAAATGAGGCGATCGATCTGGTGTAACCAGTCCTTGATGAAACGAAGCTGGAGGAGGATACGGATAAAACTCGGTTTGTCCTGTATGGATGAGGTCCTCGTTCACCTGTTCCTTTGACGTGGGAAACGGTGGACGAGCTGTCATGGCCGGTGACGGAACTTTTGCCACCTCAGGGTCATGTTGTTTCTCGATATGGCGCGTCAGTTGGCCATGTCGCCAAAACGACTTGAAACATCCTGGAACTGGACAATGGTTTAATTTCGCGGTCGGCGATTGACGGTAGGGGCTTATACGGGGTTTATGGAGACTCGATGTGGGGTGGCTGGTGTGAGGTTGAATAAAGCGTAGAATCGAGCAGTGTTGTTGTTGTCGAAGGTAGGCTTCTTCATCATCGAGTGACCGTTGCTTGGAAGAATTGCTGAGACGACGGATTTTACGTCGTCGTTGCAATAACACCGCGGCAGGAGCTGAATGCACACGAATGTGCCGATTTAATTCATCCGACCGTGCGAACCGTTTATCACAATGCGGGAAACTGCAAAGATGGGGCTTCTCACCGGTATGAGTACGGACGTGGCGCACTTTATGTTCCAACCGGTAAAACGACTTGTGGCAAAAGTCGCACTTGTAAGGCCGTTGCATAGCTGCTTGTTGTTCAATGGTGATGACGGATTCCATTTACCCAGGAAAAATGGATTATTCTCTGCTTCACTGGTAAATCAAAAAAAAGGATGTTCAACCCGACCAATAAGATTTTTAGTTCAGAGCACACCGAGATAATAGCAATAATGAGTGTTGACAAAATAGGACACTGGATGGAAACAAGATTTCTGCGACGGATAATGAAGAAATGAAATCAAAGTCGGAAAAGAAGCAACAAATAAGCGGAATGAAATCCAATGGAAAGCGAAATATGAATAATCAGGAAAAAAAAAGCAAGAACGAGAGCAAGGAAAAAGATGAGGGGGTAAAAGTTTTATATAGGATGTGAGAGAGAAAGAGCCAGAAAAGAGGGTGTTACCGTTTAGGGTTCCGTCAAAAAAATAAGTATTGTAAATAATTTATATGGGCCGTGGTGTACCAGTACCTCCATCCCCCCTCGATGTGTCTATTCCCTTTTTTCCCCCTTCTTTCTTTCTTTGTCCAATCCCCCCTTTTTTTTCCTTCCTCCGGCTATGCTGAAAACAGAAATGTTTTGGGGTGTCTGGTTACACTTACAAACACATGGACATCAGATAGACGGTATATTAGGCAAAACACGGTCGCCCCTTGAAAAAAAATTGGCCTTGAGCTTCGATGCGGATTGGAGTCGGACCTTCGTTGGCAGAAAGCGGGGTAAAAGAAGGCAAAATGACTAACTTTAGAAAGTAAGCAAGTGCCATGCTCTTTCATTTTGACTTTTGAGACTATCCCTGACCGACTCACCCTTTCTTATTGGTTTCTACATCTTACCTTGACCTCCTCTTGCAATTCTGAGTTATTTTTCCTCGAACCTTTCTTTTTGTTGTAGCATATATCCCAAGCAACCATGTCTTCCCCTGTTCCCTTTCTTTCCTTTTACAGTAGTGTTCAACTTCTTGTACTTTATAGGTATTCAAGCTCTCATTATCTTATTTTCATTAGAAATGACACGGGGAGATCTTCTATCCAGCTCTGCCGTCATCGACAAACCAATACCGAAGAAATGCAGCAACGTGTATGTCACACGCATGTATTAAAAGAAAACTCCATGTATCTTTTGTATCTTTAAAAGAGGAAATAAAAAAGAGACAAGAAGTACGGTTGGACAAAGTCAAGTGAAGTTGCCAATCTTATTTTTTATATAAGATAGGCAGTCAGGTATATTATGGGCTTTCCGGTGTATCATGGGTTTTAAGGTTTTGTCCCCCCAACCCGTCGCTTGTTTTTCCCCCCAACTTCCTTAGTGTCTTTCCGCCCGAGTAAGTTTTTGGGCAACATAGGATTGAGTTTTTTCTTTTTCAGCAAAACCTTGATGGTGCAACGTTGAACGTTGGATTGCCATTTTTGGTCCACCTTTGCCAACTTGAGCGAAAAAGAAAATTCCCTGGTTCTGCCCACCATCAGCATTTGCAGCAAACGCGCCTATTTGCTATTACTTCATCATTTGTCTCATCTTGCTCATTCATGCAAATCGAGGTAATATCTCCATGAATTTTAAGGCAACGTTTGTGAGGGATGGAAACGCGGTGTATGCCAACATCGGCTTGTGTCTTTTACGTGTTTGTCGGCGCGGCATGGCGGAATGACACGCTGACGGCCTCATTATGCACTGATGGTTCACCCAATAACAATCATTATACGATCCTGCTTATATCACGATGCGGCCAGGCTCAAGGGGCATCTACACCGTGGGATACGGATATTTTAGCACCACAAAAAGCTACGAATACATTATTCCGAGTACCTGCACGTCGCACTGTAGAGGTTCTGCGACGGTCAAAACAAGCATATGAATGAATTATACTTTCTCAAAAACCTTGGGAGTACACGTGTAAATCTGTGGTGAGCCGTATGGCGCAAGGCAAGACTCAATACAAATGTGGGCCGCTGACACCGCTCACTGAACATTATGGCTCGTTGCTCAGCAATTTGACCAAGCGCTTTGAACACAGAGTAAATCTAACCACACTAACATTTTTTTAGAGCCTTTCTCACTTGCATACATCGTGCGTGTGTGGGTCGATGATCACTATCGGGAAAGTTTGCCACCCTAGACGGGAACCCATATCTAATCCGCCACCGTCAGCGCAACGGAAAATCAATTACTCAAGGTTGCTTCAATATTTACTGAACTTTTTTGCCTCATTTGATGAAAGAACAGTTCCATCCGGGAGCGACTCAAAAACAAAAGAGAGCCAACAACTAAAAATTTAGTTTGCACAAATTGAATGAATGCTTCCAAAGCTGTATACATACACACACACACACACACACACACACACACACACACACATACACGTCTCCTCAATGCAAGTTGCTTTGGTGGACTATTTGTTAGTGGTGATTCGAACTTTATTACAAGGGAGGATGATCAGCTATCCTTCATGCTGTACTTTTTTTTTTGTTTATGAATTACACGGGTGTTATTGACTTGGTAAAAAGACGATCGCTCTTCTTACTGAGCCTTGGCAAAACGCTCAGCCACGGTCTCCCAGTTGATGACTTCCCAGATGGCCTTGAGGTAATCGGGGCGGACGTTCTTGTATTGCAAGTAGTAAGCCTTTGACGCAAAGCAAAGTGTAAGTCATCAGTTAAGCCATTACCGCTTTCATTCACATTCCACTGCTTACGTGTTCCCAAACATCAACACCCAAAAGAGGCACCAAGGCTAGGAAAAATAGGAGAGCGGCATGAATTTATCCGAACACGTGATTTGACAAGGTTCACACCAAATTAAAAAAAAAAAATTACACTTACCGAGCAAAGGATCCTGGTTGGCAGTGGTAGCGATTTCAAGACGCTTGGCTTCCTTGTTGTAACCCTAATCAAGATGTATCGCTCACCTTTAGATAATGGCTCCTTTTTTAACTGCTTCATAATAAACTTACCAACCAAGCCCAGCCAGAACCTATGATTGAACAGGGAAAAACAAAAAAAAATAAAGTCAGATAACAAGTGACATAATGGATCCTGCGGATTTTTTTCTTTCCCGGGCACTTTACCTTGAACACCAGCAGCGGCCGCATTGAATTTGGTGACAAAGTTGTCGAAAGAACCGAATTCCTTGTCGATAGCCGAAGACAAAGCACCCTTGGTCAAGTTACCGCCACCCTGACCCTTGGGGGCAAGATTTTGCCAGAAAAGGCTGTGATTGATGTGACCTAGAAATTTTGGGGATTTTCTTGTTCAGCTCCTCCAATCCATGTGGTTCATTTTTCCTCTTCCTGGCTTCCATCTTGTGCCACCCTTAAAAAAACAACTTACCGCCACCGTTAAACTTGATAGCGTTTTGAATGGCCAACTGCTCGGTCAAGTTGTTGGCTTGGAAAGCGTTCTGGAGCTTCTCTTCGGCGGCATTGAAAGCATTGACATAGGTCTGATGATGCTTGGAGTGATGGATCTTCATAATTTCACCGCTGATATGGGGTTCAAGAGCCTAAATGCAACCGTGTGTGTCAGAGAACAATTCCATCCATGTCTCATACACGCGCGCTTCATAGCTTACATCGTATTCGTAAGGAAGGTCGGGCAAGGTGACCTTGGTGCGAATAGCCGTCAAAGGACGGAACGACTTGACGGCAGCGGAGGTCTTCAAAGCACGAGAAGTAATAGCAAGCATGATTAGGAAGTAAAAGAAATTAAAGGTATGAACAAAAAAAAAACTCAAAACGCGATTATCTGCCTCGCGTTCTTTTAAATAAGAAGCCGAAAAAAAAAAGCCGCCACCCCCTACGTTCGTGTGATGTCATGGTCTGCTAAATTGATTTTCAGAATCCGAAAAAGCGCGATGAATGGGAATGCCCGGATGCCAACACCATCCAGTTTACCAAGATGAATTTTTTTTCATCTTTCCGAGCTTTTTTATTGGTTGGTATCAGTCATAACACAAAAAACACATAATAAAAAAAAGAGGAGGGCAAAAAAAGAACGTTGAAAAAATATGGAATAAATAGTTGGCTCTTTTAGAAACAAAACCAAGCCGTTGTAACTCAAAAATGGGCATTTCATACAGCCTTTTTTTTTGTTATTTTATCCATGGTAATGGTGCGCGGCTTCACGTCGGACATCTTGACCCCGCATGTCGGGTCGAACAGCCGCTTGGTAAAATGAGCCGCTGCAATAAAATTTGGTCAGAGCTTGGAGTCGCTTTTCCCTTGTTGTCTACCACTTACTCATTCAAGCGACGAGTGATGTCATCGAGATCCAAATCAAGATACTCCACAATAAAATCGCCAATTTCCGTGTTCTCATGGCTGCCTCGAAGCTTTTCGGTGCCAGGACCCACAGCATAAAGATTGACGTCAACCGCTGTATGACCATGCGTTGTCCACTGATAACGATGAAGCACGTTGGTTCGTTCCAGTGAGTGAAGATGTTTTCTTCAGATTGACGCATTATACGATTCACTTACCCCAATAAGAGCACGTCGAGAAACCATGTCGGCAAACAAGTACGCAAGATCAAGCACCGATTTTCCGTGATGATTCCATTCGTTTAATTTCTGCATTTCTTCGTCGGTAGGATCATCGATACCCAAACCAGCGTGAATAATCGTATTACGAAGCATATCCTGCGATGCGATATTGGATTGAACCGCATCAGCCCATACTTGGGCCAGTTGTTCAGACGAATTCTGCACCCGATGAATGACCTCAGGATTCCTATCACATGATAAATATTTATTTTGCCCACACATAACCTGACGGCCCAAAAGCGTAAATCACTCACCATTTGTACTCAGGGTAATCCTCGCCTACTTGGCGACCAGCAGTAAAACCGCCGGTTTCGTGATCGCTCGTCGAAATGACAACGGTATTTGGATTGGCTTCCACAAATTCACGCACAATTTTGAACACTTGTTGATATTCCCAGATATCATGAATGTGAGCAGCAGGGTCATTACTAAACAAAAACAGAAGCTGTGAGTAAATTATTTCATACACGCCATCCATTGAAGTTTGTTTATTGATATGCTTACGTGTGTGCGGCCATATCAATGCGACTGCCTTCGATCATCAGAAAGAAACCTGTATCGGCTTTTTCAGAAGCCTTTTTCAGGATAGCCAATGCCTTTTGCGTCATTTCCTTGAGCGATGGTTCTTCAGAGGGCACACGGTCAATTTCATATGCCATATGCTAATCAAAACACAAAAAAACAATGAGGGGGTTTGAGGAGATGACGCATTTGTTTATCGTTTTCACGATAGTTTGTGATGATCATTGATAACGATAACGATAATGATAATGGTAAAAATTTTGGACTTACATTGGGGGCAAACAAACCCATGAGGGGTAACTGTGCATCATCTGCAATGGTATCAAATTCCGCTCGTGTGCGACTGATGGACCAGCCAAACTTGGTTCGCGCCTCATCAAGGAGGTCGCGTTGATCGGCACGGCAACTACCTTGGGTAGTATTGCTTAGGAACTCGCAAAGGCCTCCGCCAAACATGAGATCCACCGTACGGCCCAGTGGGTTGTGACCAATTTGTTGTTCGGCAATCTGATTCTCCCAGTCGCGCCAGGCCACATGCGCTGAAAACGCACCGGGCGTAGCATGCGTTACACGTGATGTGACGACAAGTCCCGTCAGCATATTACGGTGAAGTTTGGCCGATTCCAAAACAGTGCCGCATGGCGTTTCTTCCGGATCCACTATGATTAAAAAAAAAAGCCGCAAAATGAGCACATGAATATCAAAGCAAATATAACCTCGTTTCCAATTTTGGGTGGTTCCATCCGACCCATCGCTCCCGTAAATATGGCTTGGTTTATAAGAGTTGCCCTGGGATCGACTAGGTTCCACTTACCGCCAATAGCGCCATTGTAAGATTTTAGACCACATGAAAAAGCGGTGGCACCTGCTGCGCTGTCCGTGACCAAACTCGATGAACTTTGGGTCCTACTGTGGCCGACATGGACTTCGTCCAAAGGTAACATGGATTTTACCGGCAAATCTTCCCGCCAGCAATGAAACTGACGAGCAAATGTTTCCGACGCAGGACCAAATCCGTCACTGACCATCATAATCACATTACGTTTCGGCTCTGCAAGGGAAAACCGAGTTAGCATGGACGCATGGTCAGCTGTTATTGGCTAGTTGCTTCTTACCTTTTTGGGATTTAGTGCCAAGGACGATGATCGTCCCAATAATAGCCGAGCCAGCCAACACAATAACAATAGCTCCCAGAATACGATGCAAACGTGGTCTCTAAGGGAATCAAGAAACCCGATAGCGAGTGTGAGCTAAATTCAGTACTACAACATTGGCATCATGGCCAAACCCATGGATGGTTCCCATTGGAACATTAGGCCTTCATGGGGATAAACTTACGGTCGGAGACTTGAGAGGACTGACATGACCGTCCTCGGTGGGAGGAATGGCGGTATAGTTTGTTGTATTGGCCACCATACTTTTTGGAATCGTTACTTGCAAGTTTCTCGGCTCGTTAAAGACCCAAAATAAAGAAAAGTGGGAGAAAAAAAGGAAATGATAAAAAAGGAGCGATTCTAATATTCGAAAGATCGAACTCGCAACTTTAAAGAGGTGAGCAACGATCCAGAAAAAAAACTCCGCAAGGTTTCCCTGACAACTAGGGGTCATGTGGCTCGCTGTTTTCTGGCTCCCCCAGATTTTTTGTTTTTATTTTTTACTTTCACTCTTTGCATAAATCTTTTTTTGTTTGCTTTCAAGGGGGGAAAAAAGAAAAAGAATCCATAAAACATAGCATGATTTGATTACGAAGATAACCTACAATTTCATCCTAGAAACCAAAAAAGCACCGAAGTCTTCGTTTTCTTTTTTCATCATGAGCAATCCTTTTGAACAGAAAGTGGAGATGGAATCTTCTTCTTCGATTATCGGTTCGGGGTCACAAGATTGTCATCCTGAATCGATCCAAACTACTGTGGCGCCCAGTGCATGGCAATCCGAAAAGCAATCAAGTCCTGTCTTGACGGCCCGAGGTGACGATGCCTACCTGCAGAAACGGGCCCCCCGTCCACCCAACCCATGGCGTATGAGTTTACGTGTTATCCAACTTTTATCTTGCATCGGATTGTTCGGATTTCAAGCTGGAGCGAGTCCCGTAAGTGAAGACGAAATTCGTCCGGTTACGTAATGCACATCCACTTAATTTATACATGTATTTCTTTTACAGTGGTCAAATGAAATGCCATTCCAGAATAATGTAGGACTGCTTTATTATGTTTACGCCATCTGTTGCGTAGCTTTTATATGGAGTTCTTTTATGGTATATGTGTACTTGACTCGACGGTATCGACAAGCCAACAATCTTAAACGTGGGGTTGCTTTGGCGGTGGATGCCATCTTGGCCACGCTATTGGGTGTCGGTGTGTGTTTCGAATCGGCCACCTATGCCTGTACTCCAGGCCAGTACCATGGATGGTAGGTTATACCAACCCGTCAATATCCCTTCCTCCTTTCCGTACACACAATATGCGCACAAATGATATGCTGCTTTCGCCTTTCCCTTGGCGATAGACACAACCATTTAAGGTTTTTTCCTTGCATGTCCTTTTTATTGACACATTTTTCAACTTTAGGTGTGACTTTTTCAATACGGGACTATTCTTTGGTATGTTGCTTTTTGCAAGCTACACCTTCAGTTCGTTGTGGGATCTTTTTGGTGGTCTTGATTGCTTGCGGGCTGATCATTGAAGAAATTCATTGAATGGCGCAATTCCATGAATTACCCAATAAAATCGGAATCCTTCATCTCCGCTTGATCGTTTCCTTTTTCAATAAAGTTCTCGCTGTGGATCCTTTTTTAAACTAATTTTTCTTTTCTGCATCTCTCACTCTTTTTTTCTTGTATCTTCATTTATTACAATGACCATGGCCACTAATATTACTTGGCATCAAGGTGCTGTCTCTTTGGCTGAACGCCAGCGACTTCTCGGACAAAAGGTAAACTTTTCCCATTCATTGCGCCGGCCGGGCAATCCCTTCCCTGCAGCAGCGACTATAACAAATAGTCCTTCTTCTCCTTACATGTTGGTTTATGGTTTTTTTGTTGCATCTCTTCCTCTCTTCTCCCCCTCCCGGGCCTTTCCCCTTTCATTTACGACTCCTCGGTGGGTCTCCTGATTTTTGGGGTCATGCTAATGCAAAATTTCACTGTCATGATAGGGTTTCACTATTTGGTTTACTGGTTTATCGGCTTCTGGAAAATCGACTTTGGCTACTGCGTTGGAACAGACGCTCCTGCATTCTGGCATTTCCAGTTACCGCCTGGATGGTGACAACATTCGTTTCGGTTTAAATAAAAACTTGGGCTTTGGACCTGAGGACCGCACTGAAAACATCCGAAGAATCTCCGAGGTAAGCGGTTTAGCGTCAAATCCGTTGTCCCACCTTCGGGCATAACACGCGTTCCATCGGGGAGGTTCGGTTATTAACTGGGTATGGGCGTGGATGTTTTGTTAGGTGGCCAAGTTGTTTGCGGACGCTTCGGTGATTGCAGTGACTGCCTTCATCAGTCCCTACCGTGCCGATCGCGATGCTGCACGTGCTCTCCATGAAGCGGCTGGTATCCCCTTTGTGGAAGTATTTGCAGATGCACCTTTGGACGTAGTGGAACAACGCGACCCCAAGGGTTTGTACAAGAAGGCCAAAGCCGGTGAAATCAAAGAATTCACCGGTATCTCGGCCCCTTACGAAGCACCGGAGAAGCCCGAAATTCACGTCAAAACACATGAAGTCACCGTCGAACAAGGTGTTCAGCAGGTGCTGGATTATCTGGTAGCACAAAACCTCATTGACGGTTCCAAGCTTGTAAAGAAATAAACACAGCCAATATAAGGCATCCTCCTCCTCCTTACATGATAGAACATGGAACATGGGCGATCTCTCTCTCTCTGTTTTTTATTGTTATTACTGTTATGGGCTGTTGAAAGGAAAAATGTGAAATTTCATAGAAAGAAAAAAGATGACGAGGTAAATACTTGTAGAGGATGATGGTGACAAAAGGAATATAAGACGTGATGGACCGAAACAAAAACCGGAAAGGAGTTGGAGAAATAAAGGATTATTGCTGATACTTGTTGTAGAAAGGTTGGAGTCGTTTTCGGTCGACGGTAGCGATGTAGTACGTGCCGCCATTGTTGGTCCAGCTTACGCCATCCGAAAAATACTCGTATTCCTGTACACGTAAAATGGATTCAGGCATGTGGAACGTGCGCTGATTGATTTTATGGTTCTTTGGTACAAATGATTTCAACGATACCACTTGGCTTCCTTCCTTGAGATCCAAGAATAATTGCGCCAGAGCATGATTGGTTTCCCAGTCAAAGGCGTAGTTGTTCACTACCACCACATCTGCCCGTTTCAGTGTATCATACATGCCACAAGCACCCAAATCCAGGAAATCGCCCTGACGGAAATGAATTCGGCCCGTGGCTAATCGCCAAGCTCTACCCAACAAAGTCAAAAAGTGTGTGAGTTCTCAAGTGCACGCCCCGATGTTATGCATGTGAATTTGTGTTACCTCATGCGACCCGCGTATTCTTTGAGCTGACGTTTAGCATATTTGCAAGGTGTCTCCATGATCTCAATACCGTGGGCTTCGCATCCCGTTTGCGCTGCCACTTGAAGTACGATATTCCCAATGCCACATCCCATATCCATAAACACACTCCTGGAATTGAGTTTGGTCCTTGCAATGATATCTTTCACCAGAATCGGATTGATCTCTCCATACACATTATTGGAAAAGGCTGTGAAATGCGAAATTGTGGTTATTATACTGCGAATCCACCTTTTTTTCTCATCCATAGGACTCCAGTTCCGATTTACCTTTATAGTTATTGAGTGCGTCTGCTTGATGCGCCACGGTGCGACTATACACTTGATAAAGGATATGGCAAGCCAGTTCATAACTCGGATGACGCATGGTTTTGGCACTTTTTTCCATCACCCCTTGATCTTTCAACTGGCGAATGACTCGATTAAAGTCGTCCACGGCTTGAATAAACCCGGCACCATGCCGACGGTTGCGATATTTCGTCAAATTACGCATGATCCCCTGTGCGTCGTCGCCCAGCAACATTTGCTGCTCAGGTTGCAAATAGTCATCATAGATGAAATACACTGTTCGCATTAAATCGGTAATAGGATTGTATTCGTCTTTATCTTCCACTTCTGAATCACCAGCACCGCCTTTTCGTACAGGTCGCATTAATAAAAATCTGCAGGAAGAGAGGAAGGAATAAGGGTATCAATTGAACCGTCCCTTTTTTTTTGGCTTTACACTAGTAGTTGTTGCCCACGCTTACCTTTCGGATTCGTCCATGCCTGGATATTCCAATACGACTCGCAAACCAGTGTTGTCGTTGGAAGTGACAGAAGATTGCGATCCCGAATCATTATCGTCCGTCAAGTTAAAATCTAGAGTGAACATGTCAATTTTGGCTGTTGGTGCTTGGTCGCATAAAAAACGATCATGAGCGGCTTACAAGGTCTATATTTGGATTGCATGGCTTTGATCATCCATTCTGACTGGATCATGGGCTTGCTTGCTTTTTTCCCGGCCGTTTTTTCGTTTGGCAGTGGTTCTCGCCTTTTTTTGTCTCTGTCGACTTCGTCGACATCCGAATGGCGTCGTTTGGTTGCTGCAGGTGCATCGAGGATTGAACCCGCAGTGACGTCTTTTATCTCTTTTGTCTCGGTTGTCATGGTGGCCTTGGTTTCGTTGGATACTTGGCTCTGTGTCGTTGTTACTAAGCTGCCACTCATCGATAAAGAGAACACAGGCGAAAAAAAAACCGAACAAGCTCCGGATATGGCAAGGATCCAAAAAAAAAGTAAAACTGAAAAGGGCGGAATCAAGGGGGACTTGCTTTCTGAGATTTTCATCAAAGTTTCTGTTTCTGCTTTTTTTTTTTTTTTTTGTTTCTCTCAATATGGGCAAATCCTCCAAAGACAAACGCGATGTGGTAAAATTCTTTTGCTCCACCCAACAATGCCAACAATACCATACTAAGTAGACATACCTTAGTACTATCGCTTAGCCAAAGAACAAGGTTGGCGAGCTCGCAGTGCTTTTAAATTGCTGCAATTGGACGAGGAATTCAACTTGTTCGACGGTAAGCAATAACCAAAAACTTGATTACATCCCCCAAAAGTTGAATGAAGCAATGACCTAATTTGGCTTTTGCCTTAGGCGTTCAGCGCGCGGTGGATTTGTGTGCTGCCCCGGGCAGTTGGTCTCAAGTATTGACCAAAAAGCTGAGGTAAAATGGGGTTCGATCGAACTTATCAGCGAGAATAACTTAATTTCGATGGTTTCTGTTGTCAGTGAGAATCGCGAGAAAAGTCAGCAACCCACCGAACCCAAGATTGTGGCGGTGGATTTGCAAGCCATGGTAACGATGAACAACGGGTGGACTTGGATGGTCGGATCAATATTAATATTGGATCTCGCTGTTAGGCTCCCTTGGAAGGTGTCATTCAATTGCAAGGCGATATCACCAAAAAGTCCACTGCAGAACAGATCATCTCTTATTTTGAAGGTGAACTGGCTGATATCGTTGTATGTGATGGTGCTCCTGATGGTAAAGTATAACAGAAAACCTAGACAGTAGGGATCTCGGATCACTAAAATCATTGAGAATTTAGTCACGGGACTGCACGACATGGATGAATACATTCAAGCACAATTGCTGTTGGCCGTAAGCACTCTTTCATTCTATGCAATGGTATTTGGGTCGTATGTTGATACCACTCTCCAAATTCTTTTCACAGGCTCTTAATATCACGACCCATGTCTTGCGTCCCGGCGGCACGTTTGTAGCGAAAATCTTCCGCGGAAAGGATATCACTCTGCTCTACTCGCAATTGAAAATTTTCTTCCCCACCGTCACCTGCAGCAAACCTCGTAGTTCCCGTAACTCAAGTATAGGCAAGTGAATATTTTCACTCGAATGGATCAAGTAACGATTGATTTAACGTGACGGATGATGTGTGTTTACAGAGGCTTTCATTGTCTGTCAAGATTACACACCTCCTCAGGATTACACGCCTACCATGGCGAATCCTTTGCTTGATATGCAATATGGTACGCTTTTGGCCATGAACAATGGAGGACAACGAGACATTTTTTAACACATCTGTAGATGATATGAACGAACTCACGGGACCTAACCGAACCATTGTTCCCTTCATTGCCTGTGGTGATCTAAAGTATGAAACCCCACCAACAAGAGGCGCAACTGCAGCTTGTTTCTTCGATCACAAATTTACTCACTCATGCCATTTTTGCTTTCTCTATTTTCTTAGTGGATATGATGCGGATCGCACTTACCCTTTAAATACATCCTATACATCACTTGATCCTTTGCAACCACCTATCACCGCACCTTACAAAACAGCCATGCAACTGAAACGTAGCAACTTTTACAACACCGTTTCAAAATAAGAAACATACAACCTTACTTGGATAGACAACGAGCGCATCAAACCAAAACACCGCCTTGTGAACGGAGCATAGACAGCAACAATAAATTTCACTTTTTTGATCTTTCCAGCTGTGGATGCCAAAATGGAAGTTGATGTTTGTCCCCAACGTCGCCATCATCAAAAGTTGCAAGAGGACGATTTTGCTGTCAGAAACAGGCCCATTCTTGATCCCTGCTGGTGGCCTTTTTGTCTTGGCCAATTACTTTTATTGTTCAGAAAAAAAAAGGGAAGGCATTTACACAAGTAACGAAGGAGAAAGAAAAAAAACTTAAAGAGGTGTAGGATCGTAAGACATCTGCCGTAAGGGAGGGTTCGAGGATGGCTGTTGCTGCTGCTGCGTTGAATGACTGGGTGGGTAAGAGGAGGGTTGTGGTGGGTCTGAATGTCGGGATAGACCGCCTGTCAACATGGAGGGTAGGGATGGGGCGGTACCTTGCCTTAATTTGGTCATTTCAATTTGCATTTCCGTGACCTTTTTTTGCAACCCCAGTCGATGGAGCTTCAATTGATATCGTTCTTGCTCGAGATGCTGTCGTTCGGCCAGGACCACCGCTTCTCTTTCATTGTATCGTTGCACTTGATCCTGGAAATCGCGCAATTTGGTCTTCAACCACGCATACGTCAATTCATATGTGGCTCGCTCTTGCTTCTTTTTCTCGGCCTCAGCATCTTCTCGTTTCTCGGCTTCATCGGATTTCTTGATCAAACCTTCTCGATCGACAATTTTCGCCACGACTTCGGGCTTGACGGTCGACGCGAGGAAAGCCACCACGGACGTGATGGGATTTTTAGTTCCTGACGCTGGCAGCGTCAAACCAAGATCTTTCGCTTCCAACTCGAGTGACATCCCATTGACCGGAAGTTGCAAGAAGTGAAGAATACATTCATCCCGTGTTCGCGTGCCTACATGTTTCGCGACGGCTTCCCAATCTTCCGAATACATTTCCAATCCTTCCAACAGCAATACCACCTCTTGATCCGTCCATTGAGGCTCCATCTTGGCACTCTGCTCTTCTCTGACGTAATCCTCTCTACTGCTTTGATTCGATGGGAGTTTGCCACTGTTGTAGCAGGGCGTACACAGCACGAGTCGGGGTGTTTTCGTATGTCGAAACCGTTCGCCCGTGCAATCTGTATGGCACATGGAGCATTGATACGTTCGTTTATCAAAGATATTACGTCGAAGTTCCAAATTAAAATCAAGCCGGCTCTTTAAGTTGGATGGAACGGGGGAAGAAGCATCGACATCCATTGGACTGGGAACAGTAGGTGCAGGTGCAGGTTCGGGAGAAGGTAATGCGGGAGAATCGGTCAAGGACAACGCTGAAGGATGCCGAGAATCAGTCGTAGGAGGTTGAAATGCTACTGGTAATTCAGTGACGATCTTGAACTGGCCAGAAAATGGCGGACCAACATGGGACGGTCTCGCAGCGGAATCAATCTGTAGATCAAGAAAAAAAACCAAAAAGGACATATGTGAGCTTACATTTGTCTTCTGGGAGACTGGAGCTCACCGAGCCGAGCCGAGCCAAACTCACCTGATAATTGATTAAACCCCACTGTTCCAAAAAGGCGTGAATGCGAATAATGGCACACACATCTCCGGTCATATTGCGTCGACATGCAGTGACGGTCAAGTATTCCAGAGGGTTTAATCGGTAAGTATTGATCATGAAATCACGATAATCTTTATATACAGCGGGTGTTTTGGATCGATTGCGGTGATTGAAGAATTCCGGCAAAGCTTGTTTCTCGATCGAATGCACTTTCTCCATTTCAAACCAGGCAGCATAGGAAGGGATGATTATTTCGTGCGATTGCACAGACAGATATTTCCTTGCTTCTATTTCGTGATGATGCCATTCTTCTTCTTCCAAACTCAACGGTCGCGTTTTCTTGACCGGTGTGTCATCTCGCGTATCATCCCCATCGATCTGCAAAGGTTCGCTGCTGCGTCTTTTCCTGCTGAGGCCTTCCCGCTGCTTCTCTGTATCAAGATAATCGATTTCGTCCATCCATTCATTGTATTTGTAGCTTTGTTTCACCCAGTCGGATTTTACATGCCACGGCGCATGTTCCAGGTCCGCATCCACGCTTTGAAGACCATTCTTGCTGACCTTTTTGCTGTCTTTGTCTATCCACTTATCGAAAGAAGCTGGTAATCCTATCCAGTGCACCAGCTTGCGGTGTTTCTCATCTTTTAATATTCTGTAATAACGATCGTCTCGCGATGCAATGGCTTCTCCATTGTAGATGAAATGCGATGCAGAACCGGCATGAGAAGCAATCGTACCTAAAATACCAAATGAGTGTTTCAAATGGGTCTTTCTCACTTCCCCTTTTCATGACTTACCACCTAATGATTTAATCATATTGGTCAGATCTTTCTTTTCACGGTCGCTGACAGTTTTATCAAAAGCTATGCAAGGGGGACGATACACGTTTTCTTCGGCTAAACGTTGCTTGATGTAAGAAATGAGATCGAGGTAGACGTCCTTTTCTTGTAAAGAGTCGAATTGCCAGTCGCTAATGTTGTGATCGGATCGGAAGGAATAGGCGGCTTTAAGGACCGTGTAAAGGGGAGACTGTTGGCTGAGATGGTCGACGTCAAAGAATCGGACAGGTATACGCGGTTGTATTGGCCAGCCATTTTTCCGTGCTAATTGAGTAGCGGTAAATCCCAAGTGATCTTGTTGGAACTGTTGAATTCGCGCTGTAAAGTAGACCAAGTCGGCCGTCGTAAATGTCACGCTTGCACCTTCCGCATCAAGATCGTGTCGTAACTCGTTGATAATCGCATCAAAGCAAGCAATCGTACTTGGTTTCTCATAAAAATCGTAATCAATCTTGGCTGGTTGTGGTACGCTCATAATGAACGTGATAAAACCCCTTATAGAATGGTTAGGAAAAAATAAAAAGAATGGAAATGCAGATAAACGAGAAGAAGGGCCCTTTCTTGCCACGCGATAACGGTTGCAAGGTATCTACCGGTGAAGCTGATTGGCTACCCTTTTCAGTTTGCGCACGTGATTAAATTATACAGGGTGGCTTTTTGTCCACTTCCCCAATTTCAGGCACCTCTGACATTCAATGTATCATGAGCAACGTACATCCACGCTTACTCTTGACCCTACGATACAAATCCTGGATCAGTTCTTCCTTGTGCATCTTGTTTCCGTAGAAAAAAAAAGTGGTTTACAGCATGTCACTTTATATTTTTTTTTCTGGAGCTGTTGGAGCAGTTATAGATTCTATCTAAATATGCAGGTACAAATTTTCATTTCTTTCAAATTATCATTTTACAAAACATTTGCTTTCTCTTTTTTTCTATAGTGATGAAGGGTGAATTATCGGCTGCCATAGTATACATGTTGAACATCGGCCAGTTTCTTTCCTCGGATTTTTGCAATGTCTTGGGGCATTTTCTGAGATGATAAAGCATCAAAGGTTGCTTTGATGACGTTCATGGGCAGTCTTGAACCACGCACTTTTCCACTCAAATCCCGAATGCCAATGCATCCGCAGATTTCGTGAATGTAACGGTTCGCCCGACATCCAAAACCTACAACGAAGATAAAAAAAAAAAAGGAGGTTCATCGACAGGACTTTTTACACTCCACTGTATTGGTTTTCACTGATTTTTACCTGGAGGTCGGCTTCGTAATTCCAAGGTGGTGGCATGGAATTTGTGAACGATATCCATGGCAACGGTACGATCATCGTAACGTTCAAAGAATCGCATATTTTTGATGGCTCGGTTCGTCGCCTTGAGGACAGCTCGAGAAGCTTCTTCATCTTTGCCTTCGCCATATCCAGCAAGACCCTTGCCGTTGCCGACGACCACTAACGCATACATAGAAGGCTGTTTACCCTTGCCATTCATGTTGACGACACGTTTAACGACAAGTGCTTTCTTTATAAGTCTGGATTGAGTCTGACCATCCAAGGGTGAGTCGACAATACTGGTCACAGTGTTCATCACCGTTTCAGTTGGACGGTAGGGAAGGAACCCTTTGGGCTGATCGAGCGTATTGGGCTTTTCGGTAGGGAAATCGAGAATGGCGTCCACTTTATCGAGTTCAGGAGCGTTTTCTTTGGTAAGCGATGGGTGACGAAGACGCTTGCCGTTCTCGACCGAAGCATAGTGTCGCATGGCCGTGCATGTAGCTAAAAAATAGAAGGCGTAAAAAACGGCAATGAAGATAACCAGGCCATGTTTTTCTTTCTTTTTTCCAGTAAGCTTACCTGCTGCCGTTACTCTTGTTGAGCCTGCAAGCGAAAGTTTGGAAAGCGATCGAGTCAACGATAACATGGCAGACTGAGGCAGTAATACACACAAGGAAAGGGCCCTGACCTCTCTTTTTTTTTTCTTGTTTTGATTGTCAAGTCACTTTTTCCGAAAAATGAACCATGCCGGATCCTCTAATAGCGACCTGTAATTTTCCGAGCCGAAAAAATTTTGATGATCCGGAGAGAATCGACGTCACTCAAATATGGTCGTGCAAGCGTGATGGTGGCCGTGTTGTGTTTTGAAATCGAGTTTTTTGTTTTCTCTTTTTTTTTGTAGATAGCTTTAATTTCGTGGCAAATCCTCCTCTTCTCTCTACGCTAGAGCTCTCTCCACTCCCCACTCTTTTTATAGAATGAACACATTGAAATTGGCGAGGCCATTGTCCTCTTTTGTCGGTGCCGCTCAACGTCGCTCTCTGGGTAAATACTCTATTCTCTACTTTTTGAATCCTTCTCCACTCCCCTACTCCCGACCCCCGCTTGAAGCATAACATGAATACCTAACTGTTTGTATTTACGTTTTCTTCATTCTCAGCTCCTTTGACTGTGCGCTTCATGGCCACTCCTTTCGCCAGCCAGGCTTCTCGATTCAGCACCAGTTCAGTTAATCGACATGCCGCCCATCGTGAAGACAAAAGCCACCAGATCTCTGGCAAGCCTATTGGCTCCCTCGACGTTGCTGCTCAGCATCTTCTTCTCACTGAATTGTTGAGAGGCATGTGGGTCGTGTTGGAACAATTCTTCCGTCCTCCGTACACTATCTTTTACCCCTATGAAAAGGGTCCTTTATCGCCTCGTTTCCGTGGTGAACACGCCCTTCGTCGCTATCCCACCGGTAATTAATTTCTTTTCCACAAAAAACAATTGAAACGACCATTGTCAGGCACTGACTTTTTCTTGATCTAGGTGAGGAACGTTGTATTGCTTGCAAATTGTGTGAAGCCATCTGTCCCGCTCAGGCTATTACCATTGAAGCTGAACCCCGTGAAGACGGTTCGCGTCGTACCACTCGTTACGATATCGATATGACCAAGTGCATGTAAGTTTTTATTATGTCGTTCTGATGCCGTATTTACTTATCGTACATGTTCTCTTTTTTTTGCAGCTATTGTGGCTTCTGTCAGGAAGCTTGTCCTGGTAAGGAACATGGAAATGGGATGCTAACAATAGGAAGATAAGCTAACCCAGGTTACTTTGTGTTATAGTGGATGCCATTGTTGAATCTCCCAATTACGAATACATCACTGAAACTCACGAAGAACTTCTTTACAACAAGGAGAAGCTTCTGGCCAACGGTGACAAGTGGGAAGTTGAGATTGCACGGTAAGGATATCTGAATAGAATTTGTTTGTGAAAAAAAAAAAAGTGAAAAATACTGATTTCATTGCCTGATCTGTAGAAACTTGCAAGCTGATCATCCTTACCGTTAAAGTGGACAATGACATGGTGGATAGGATGTACAGTACAAAAACCTAGAAGTTTGAAAAATCTCCATTAAAAAAAAAAAGATGCCCATCAATACAGACACATACAATTCACACTCGCCTGCAACAGATGATCGGAAACATGCTATTGTCCTTTTCCGTCATAAAGCTGGTTCAAGCTTATTGTTTTAATCCGTGCGTACTGAGTAAATAGAAAAAGACAAGCGAAGTGGTTTAGATGAGAGCGGATATTCGAGGACATTCTGCAGATATTTCTCTCAAGCGAGATATTACGGTTGCTTGGATAATATTGATATCAATGGAACATTTTGATTAGGGAGCGTATCCCTTTTCGTGGGATAGTTTCCATTAGATATCGATCATGCAACATGGGTTACTGTTGATTTGTTGATGCTGACCCACCGATAATTACTATCCTATCTGAGCTTGATTGGGAAGATGACACCATTGTGGGGCTGAACCATGGAAAAAAAGTCACGTGCTTGCAGCAAAGTGTGGGCGGGTTCGGTTTTTCTAGTTTCGTCCATGCAGTTTTTAGTTGGTTTAAACGCTTTTCCCTTTGTCAAGCACCATGAATTTCTGGCGAAACAGGCAACTTACAACCACCCTTGCGGTGTTGTTCGTTACCTTGTTCAGCATTGTCTTGGCGGATGAACATAACCATGTGGTACGTTATTTTTATTTTCTTTTTCTTTTCGCTTTGTCTGGGCTTGGCGCGATTCATTGTGGGTGCGGTCCTTTGTTCTCCAGTCACCAACTAAAATGAAATATTTGTCATGCATAGTATAAATCAGGCGAAGAAGTGATTGTATGGATGAACACGGTGGGACCTATCCATAACCGACAGGAAACCTATCCTTACTTCCAACTCCCCTTTTGTCGCGGTGAAAGTAAAGTGGAGCACCATCACGAAACTCTCGGTGAAGCTCTCCAGGGCATGGACCTCATTAACTCTGGCATTGATATCAAATACCTCGGTAAAGAGAAAATAAGCCTTTTCTTGTTCTGCCTATCCCATATTCAACTCTTGTCGTTTTAGTTCCCGTATCCGGTGCGACCATATGTAAAAGTAAACTGGATAACAAGGACATCAACGTGATGCGATACGCTGTAGCCAACAACTATTGGTTTACCATGTTTGTTGGTAAGTAACCGTGCCTTTTAAATCCATGGAATGTAGGTATTCATTTTTCTTTCTTTCTTTAGACGATTTACCTGTCAGTGGACTGGTTGGACAGGCTGATTTGGACAATCTGCAAAAGGCAAGCCCGTTGCCTTCCTATGTGTATACACACAAACAGTTTGTCATTGAATACAACGGAAACAGAGTGAGTGTGATTCCGCGGGAAACGATAGACAAGCAAGCCCACCGCTCACCCGCTATCATTGGTTGATAGATCATTGCTGTCACGCTTCAAAGTGGAAATAAGGTCGAGCTTCCACCGACTCTGACTGCTCTGGAATTAGTGTTCACCTACTCTGTGGAATGGAAACCGACCGATATTCCCTTTGAAACACGATTCGAACGTCTCTTGGAAACCGACTTTTTCGAGCACAAGGTGGGAAGGATAAAAAAAAAAAAGTACAGAGAACATGGTCATGTTGACATTTCGATTTCCAAATAGGTTCATTGGCTGTCCATATTTAGCTCTTTCATGATGGTGCTTTTCCTCACCGGCCTTGTCTCGATCATCTTGCTTCGAACTATTAAGCGAGACTTCTCTCGCTACGAACGTGAAGAAGGACTAACTGATTTTGTAAGTGCCTGCTGAGCTTTTGATACAATGAACCAGTGACTGATGCGGGGGAGGTAGGATCGTGATTTGGGTGACGACTACGGTTGGAAACAAGTCCATGGAGATGTATTCCGTCAACCTCCTCGTCTAATGCTGCTGTCATCACTCATGGGAGCTGGTAACCAGTTGGTTCTGTTGACTGGGATTGTTATTCTGTATACCATTATCGGTGATCTGTACGCCGAAAGGGCCACCATTTTGACAGCTTCCATCTTCTTTTACACATTGACCTCGTTTGTGGCTGGATACACAAGCTCTCGATATTATGCAAGTTATGGCGGTAAGTCAATCACTTGGGTGGCAAAGGAAAAAGAAAATATGCACCATTTTATCGATATTGAACAATGGAATAGGCAAGGATTGGGTGAGAAACGTGATCTTGACCGCCAGTATTGTCCCTGGTGCGGTGACTCTGATTGGTGGCTATGTCAATAGTGTAGCCATCTACTATTCCAGTTCCCGTGCCATTGCTTTTCCCGTTCTTGTAAGTTCCAAGCAGCCTTGCATCACGCTTTGGTATTGATCGTTTTTATTTCTTTTTCAAGCTGTCTGTATTGGCTATTTGGGTCTTTTTATGCTTCCCGCTTACATTGCTTGGAGCGATTGTGGGACGTAACTGGGGTGCGCGAATGGATTTCCCATGTCGTGTGAACCCTATTCCACGTCCAATTCCGGAAAAGGTGTGGTATGCTGAACCGCTGATGATTATTGCCATGGGTGGTATTCTGCCTTTCGGGTCCATCTTTATCGAAATCTACTTCATCTTCACTTCTTTCTGGACCTACAAGATCTATTATGTCTACGGCTTTATGCTGTTTGTCTTTATCATCTTGTTAGCCGTCAGTGCTTGTGTCGCCATTGTCAGCACCTACTTTTTACTCAACTCGGAAGATCATCGCTGGTAAGTGTGAAGCTCAACATCAAGGATCCCTTACCGCCATCTTACAAATGAACCATTTTTTGTGTCTTCTACAAAAACAGGCATTGGTTAAGCTTCCTTACTTGTGCATCTACCGCAGGCTATGTGTACCTCTATTCCTTGTATTATTTCCTGGCCAAAACCAAGTATGGAAATTGTTCTACGTTATTGCATTATTTGTCTTGTTGATTTCCTTTTTTTGATTAACCCACGTGTACTTTTTTTTGTGTGTTGTTGCATAGAATGACAGGCATGTTCCAGACGAGTTTCTATTTCGGATACACGGCTTTACTGTCCCTGGCCATCTTTTGCATGCTAGGTTTTGTCGGTCATTACGCGACAAGACTGTTTGTGCGCAAGATATATCAAAACGTGAAAATCGATTAAACCCCTGTTTCCCAATCCTATTCAAGATCTCCATCGTGCTGTTACCCCCTTCCCCCATTTTTTTTTTATCTTTTCTTTTCCCTTAGGCCACGTACTTTGACTAGATCCATGGCAGTGCTGAGAAAAAGAAAAAGGCAAACAGAAATGCCAAAAAGCAAACAATACAAATGTTTATATATCTCAAACGTATATTTATTCAACGTAATGGGAGAATATTACAAAAAGGGTAGCTCAAAGAAAAAATAAGGAAAAAGGAAGGGAGAAAAAAAAAAAGAAATACACACAAATCGGCAAAAAAAAACATACAATACACTACAAGAAAAAGCGAATAAAATGGGTAAAACGAGATGTAGAATAGAAACAGGGAAATGGGGAATAAATGGAACGGAGGGAAAATGAGGATGATTATAGTGTGAACGTAAATGTAAAAGATATGAAAAGAGGATACTTCACAGATCAATGAAGCGGCGGATCCGGTCAACTTGCTGTCTACTTTGTAAAGATGTCGTTGGCTTGATTAATGATGTATTCGATGGTAGCGTTTTTGTAGCTCATATCCAATAAATCTCGCGACGCATCTCTGTCACGCATCAGGGTCGGTCCAAACACCATGGCCAGATTTTTGGTCGTCATCAAATTTTCACTGCTTCGTTCTCGTACACTGCAATCAAGGCAGGTGATTAGTTAAGCGTGAAATGATCAAAATCAATCCTACCACATGCGCATCCATGCAATGGGGTCATTAGACAGATACATACCAATGAAGATGTTGTACGAGTAGACGCAGGGTATCATAATTGGCTTTGGGTAACTGCGATAACAATTCGATAAACTTGTCGGTTTTCTCCGGTCCAGGGTTCATGGCTAATGTGACAGAAACCAGTTAGTCTTTTTTTTTCATTCCCAATCCTGCAAACACACGCCCGTCAGCACACACACTTACACACTGCGTCGATGAATTGCGGATACAGATCGTATGACAGCAGCGGATCTGGCAATTCTCTAAAGTATTGCTTGAGCACGCTGGTGACGGCGCAGATATCATTGTATTCCTGCATGTCTTCTAGATCGATATCGTCGCCGTGTTCAAAGGCAAGAATAATCGCACGCATCTGAGCCGCTCCACCGGACTTGCGGTAAATTCCTTCATAGTCCATGCCACGTGCCTCTACGGCCGCAATGCATCTTTCCACAAGCAGAGGCACCGCTCGACCTTCCACCATGACTTGCTTTGATAAATCCGTACCAAACATGCTTACTAAAATCGAGTGTTATGACCTTTTCCGTATCGTCTTTAGCCTTTTTGCTGAGATCTTACCAGATTTTGTGGAGAAATCATCGCAGGAAGGACTAGTCAGTTCAAAAGTACTCTGTGTACTTGCGTAGCATAATTGAGGAACATGGCTTAAACATTTTGCATGCGATGAAAATCCGCAACCTAATTGAAATGACGATGCAAATGACCGATTCAGTAAAAGATGACATACAAAAGAACCATCTCCGGGGGGGCATTTGAAACCAATCGGTTACCTTGGCATCGATATTCGGAACGGCCCCACATTTTCTCACTGCAAACACCGCATTTGACGGGACGTAAGAAAGAGGTGGGCTGGAAGGCATGAGTACCATGGGTGGGTGTCTCTTGAGATTGTTTCGATCCTTGGCGCGTACGTTCTGTCGGCCAATGCATGGAACTGAGACTAGTCGACGAAGAGCTGTACATTGCTCCCTTTTCTCCGTACACTGTGTTAACGGGCTCGGTCTTGTTTGATTTCCCAGCACCAAATTTCCCCCACACATTGCCCTTTTTGATTTTGAACATTTTGGGTGAATGCATGCCTTGGAAGCTGTCGCGGGAGGCGATGCTTTCTTTGGCTGACGAAGTTTCGCTGGACTCACGTTGCATGGCCACGATGGATTCATTGTGATAGCCTCCCTCGCGTTCTCCCCGCTCGGTTAATCGCAAAGAAAGACTGTTGTTCATCGATGTCAATTCCGCATTTTTCGTATTCAGCAGAATCATTTCACGAATCACTTCTTCACGGATTTCCATCAATTGCTCGGTATCTTTTTGTAGAGTATCGCGTTGCAAAGTCAATGATTTCACTTGATTCTGAAGCGCTTTTTGCTGTTGGTCTATAATGTACGATCCGTCCGTGGTACTACATTGCCAAGGCCTCACTGTGTTAGAATTCGGTAGAATCTTTCCTCCTGGCCGGTCCGCGAAAAAAAAAAAAAGGATTTCACTGTACCTTGCAAGTCCAGCTTGCTTTTGTTGCACCATGCGATCAATTTCCTTGGCAATATTATTGCGATAGCTGTGAAGTTCATTGCAGGTTCTCTCCAATTCGACACGAACACGGGCCAAATGATCAATCTCATCTTTCGCTAAAAGGGCGAGGTCACCGTCCTTGCCCGATTTCGCTCTCTGAAGCACTGTGATTTGTTGCCTCATTTGCATCATCGTATACTCGTGTTGTTGACGAAGCGCGACTTCTTTCCCAAATTCTTCCTTGGCTCGAGTAAATTCATCCAAAGCTCGACGACTCGCTTCCTATAGGTCGGAGATGAGAGACCCCTTAACACAAAAGAGACAACAAACTTTAAATATAAAATTTCAGGCTCAGTTATACCTTCAATTTGGAGAAATTCGTTTCCATGTCTCCAAGCTGAGCGCGCGCAGCTTTTAGTTCGTTGCGGAGTCGAAGCACGGATTCACGGTCGGTAGGAATGATGTCGGAATCGAGATTTAAACTTTTGAATGCATGGCTCGGTGGTTGCGGGAATCCGTCCAAGGGGGACTGTTTGGTGGCATGCGACGATGATGATTGTTGTAAAGTCGAGGATAATAGTTCGGATGCTTTGTTGATTTTGCTTGTCAAAATGGAAGAAGGTTTCTTTTTCACGGTACGTTGGTTGGATGGCTGCGACGTGGTACGCGGTAACGACAGATTAGCACCGAGGGAAAGCGTCAAGTTGGAAAGACTGCTGGAATCATCGTCAAAGAAGGAAAGATTAAGAGAAGGAATGGTAGCAGTTGAAAGATCCAGCGAAGAGTTGATGTCGCCTTTGGAGACACTGCCGTCTTTTAACTGATAGATACTTTCAAAAGTACGATCGGACGCGGTGTTGATGGATAAAGTGGCTGAAGACGAGGTGGAAAGAGGCGACAAACTATTTTCTGAACGGGAAGGTGAAGGACGTCGTGAAAGGGTGGGTGGTGCATGTTGGGGATTGATGGAGGACGATCGCATAGTGGCTTCAACGGAACTACTCCGTGAACGTACTGGAGTGGGAGGACCTAGTTCGTGAACAACGCTAAGAGTAGACTCGTTCGTCATATGGGCCACAGCTCTTTCCATTTGCAAATAGTCGGTGACCATTTGCGCGTCGAGGATCCGGCTTGCGTGACCATGGCGGCCAAAATTGCCAGATTGGGTAATCGTCTTGGTTGATACGAAATTGTTTTTAATTCACGGTTCCAATCGCCTACTGAAATAAATTCACCTACCGAAGTATCCACGGCAGGTACCTCAGAGCCTTTGCTTGCACCAGGCCATCGTTTCTCCTTTTCTTCTTTTCGACGCAGCTTTTCGGCTTTACGCTGATGATGACATGGACGACAATAGATTCCCTTTAAAAGCAATTGTCATGTAAATTTAGCGAAATGCAAAAGAATAGGACCTGGCGGTCACTCCCAACGTAAAATCAGGAACAATAGAAAAAAAAAAAACTCAAAATAAACCTACTCTACTTGTTTGCGCAAATATAAGATCGGACATCACTTGTTTGCATGAAACACAGCGAAAACATTCAGCATGGTACACCTCGTCACCTATAAATATAAAACGGGGGTCAGTCCGTCAGCAACATAGAACACTGTGCATCGCCAAAGGGTTTGGATTATTTTCCTTCATTTTTTAATATTCCGCCACCGATGGTCTTTATTGGACCTTCTTTTATCATGCAGCTCTCTCCATATGAAAAAATGACTTACCAATCATGATGGCTTCATGTTGCGTAGGTTGTTTGCATGCGGCACAAATGTAAGAGCATTGTTCACACAAGGGTCGTCCATCGTTGAGTAACAATAAATTGGAACTGCAATCAACTTCGCGAGCACACTTGGCGCAAGTAAAACTAATTCATGAAGGCAAAAGAAAAATAGGCATTGCATGCATATGCGTATGTCTGTAGTTAAGAAATAAAGCTCATATTATATCAACAGCCTAGAAAGAAAAGAAAAAAAAAAGTACCATTCCAAATGAAACAAGGCATCACCGAAAGCAATGACCGATCCTTCTTCAATGACTAAATGACAACCAATGCACAGAGGCTCGGAAGCTTCGTTCGCAGATACAGTCGTCATTGAATGATACAATACAATGTGGTAGAATAAACAATGTCAAGGGTGAAAAGAAAAAGAAAGGCAAAAAAAAGTGAGGATTTACGAAGACAGATCCAATATAGAAGAATCGACTATGCACATAAAAAAAAAAGAGAGTGAAAACAAGAAAGAATTGGACAAAATGAGATGGGCGGTTAGACAGCAATATTTCTCATCAAACTAAAAGGATCAATAAATGCGACTTTTTGCCTCTTTTTGCAAGGATGTTGAGGTCGATGGTGGAGAAGAAAAAGTGAATATTGCAAAAAGAATAGGGTTAAATGAAGATAATGATGTAACACAAGGTTTGGGGAAGAAGGCTCGTTCCGTATCCATCACGAGCATCCTGGCAAAGTAGTGTAACCTCAACTAAATACAATAATACATTTATGGCAGCCCAATCACTGGGCTAACTATGCCACTTGACCATCTCCGATTCGCTTTTTCCTTCTAGCCCATACCTATTTGGGTCATTCCATCCTATTTCGTTTCATTTATCGTTATGGAAATCATGTTTAGCTTCTTCAATTCCAAAACCTGGACAACCTTCATAAAAAAACTTTTTTTTTCCTATTGGCCGAGATGGTATCCTAAACAGTCTGTTCATGCCCTAATAGCATGCCATGACCGATTACCTTTGGATCAATGGGCCAATTTTATTCATTTTGAATGGGATTTATTGCTTCCTTTCTCGTCCCAGAAAGCTTTATGCGGTTGAAGCTGTGACCTTTTTCTGTCTCCTCACCAAGGATCGTCCAAGGAACTATCAATAGCTCTGCGGGCTGGAGGGTCTTTCTTTCGTTTTTTTTTCCCTGCGATTCACTGTGCAAGCATGTTTGTGTTTGTGAATGTTATCCTTGATTGTGTTGGGGCAAGTGATGTGGGACAAAAATAAATGAACTATACATAACCGTTTTAGCTTGTCAATGGTTGATTTCCATCGATCCATCTTTATCAATGACCCGCATTTAACGTTCAACATAGACACAGGACTTTTTTGCGATCATTGGCCGACAAAATGCATCGATATTTAAAATAAATGAATTCATTCCTCGTGCTTCCGACGCTGATCTGGTGCAACGCGAAGATCCTTTTTTCTTTTTTAAGCTTTTTTAGAACACCACAGAAAACCTTTTTTGCGTCACCAAAGCACGTAAAATCAACCCCACTGGCACTTGGCTATCTCTGTAAGTATACACAGATGCAGCACAGACTGCAAAATATTGCAATATACGGTTATTTTTTATTACCTACTCCCAACGTTCTGACTCTGGATCGTTCTGTCCCCATACAGTACTGTCTCCAATAATAATATCTCTTTTTCATTGGTTGAATCCATGGCCGTGATAAAGGGATTTCTCAATTACCAGTTTTCAGGTGGTGGCATTTCATGGAGATGATATTACTTTCTAAGCTAATCAATCGATCAATTGTTATTCAATTTAAGGAGTTATCGCTCTGTTTATCAATCTGCGATAATGAAATAATCAGCCACTTTTATATCTCCTCCATAAGCGCTCAGAGAGAAATTACAGTCATGAAGTACGGTAGTCCCAAAAACAAATATCTTGTTGAATATTGATGAACTTAAATGGGCATTTGAGAGGCTGCCATGAGCTGCTTTCCGCCAGCATAAAAGACGGAAAAATGGTCATGCATCAAGGCCGCCAATTTTAGAGTTACATCCAACAGTCGAACCTGTATGAACTATTGTATAGAATACATTAGCAGTCTTCGGCGAATTTTTATGAAAAATGCTGTTATTCATTGAACGTTCCAAGCGAGGGTTGGGGAATTGTAAGACACGGGTGACATTGATAGTGAACGCTCTATCTGCATTGATGGAAATGCAAAGAGAGGTTAGAGCGTGTCGGATAGGCCCCTTGATTTTTGGGTGGTCTCAAAGTTACATGCAGTAACATGGTTGATATCACTCATAATATCTGCATCAGATAAGTTGAATATGTGGCTCCGTCGGAGTGGAAACTTTATGCAAGGTTTTATGAATCGGTCAAGTTGAGGAAAACAGCAAAAATAGTTCGACCTTTTCCTTCAGCAAAGACTCTTTCCGCAGCAAGGTTGCTTCAAAAAAAATTATGAAATGTTTCTCCTACATCCTGAGCATCTTAAAGCATGTTATGTATGCAAGGAAAACGCAGTGGAGGATCAAGTGAGCTGACAGTGACAATGACGCGATTGATTTTTTTACTTTCAATGGCCGCTCCATTTTGATAATAAGCTGGTCTTGAAAGCTATCCTTTTATTGTTATTCAGCAAAATGCCGACGCGATTAAAAAAAAGCTACTTTTGTGATATAGATAGGTAGAGACGTTGAGTACGATGAGACTGTTGTTTATTCTTGAAAAAGATGGTCTCTTTAGTGTCTGGTATCGGGATTTAAATGTACAAATAGTGTGTAACTACTCTAGTGTCTCTTATCTGCTTAAACTGAGGTAATTTTTACAGTATGTAGTGGCATATGAGCCCTATCTATACAACGCTTTTCCTTCGATAAAGCCATTTATCAATGGTTGGTTGGACATATCAATGTGATAGCATATGTTATCCACTTGTAATTTATAAAAATAGTGAAAGAAAGTTGTATGAAAAAGGGATGGTCAAATTATATGATCAATGATTTACGCGCCAATGCATGAATAAAAATAAAAATTATACATTCACAAGCAAATTAAAGAATGCGGCATAGGATGGACGAGAGTCCACTTCACCATACACTGTAAAATTATATGTTGCAATTGGAATTCTGAGAATAATCAAATTCATTGTCTTCTTTTTTTTGAATGATATATACAGTGGCTGAAAAAATTGTCCAAACCTATGCCGTTTTTTTACGTTTTTATTCATACTGCAGCTTTTGCTATATGTACCGTCCGAATTTTTTTTTATATGAAAAGTACAATATCTTCTCTACATTGTCACGAAATCTCGAAGATCGCATTGCAATTCATCCCATTGCATTCACCATTTCAAGATGAGCGGTCGGTTTGGACAATTTTTTCAATCAATGCAAAAATAAGAAAAAGCGTTTTCTTACCCGTTTTTCTTCCTGCCGGTATGAAAAACGCTGGCGAAATAAAAATATCTTTATGGTAACGTCCTCTAAAAAATATACACGAAGCATTCCAGGCAGAATCGTGCAATTCATGAACGCCATTAGCTCCAGGTTGAATTTGGTGCATAATGGGCGGATCTGAGGGACCGCCAGCACACTGCATCTTTTTTTTGAGCACGTTTTTCATAGTATCGCGACTTTTTTTTTATTCATAGAAAAAGAGAATTTTTTTCTCTACGCTGTGCCGAAATCCCGAGCATTTTACTCCAATTCATCCTAATGCCATTGCCAATCCCGCATGTGATCTACATTAAGAATGGTGCTCAAATGACATGAAAAAAAAGCAGCCGAAAAAGCCTGGGAAATAATGTTGCGGTGATCAAAAAGCGTGCTGGCGTGCATTTTACAACCTTTCGAATCATATTCAAGCTGACGAAAATGCTGGGAAGAATAAAATCTGCTTAGCTATGTGGTCAGATTAACCTCATGCTTGTCATAAGCGCATCCTCCGCATTTCACTCATTATAGCAGATCAACGTACTCCTGATAAGCTTAACAACCTCCGGGTGCCTTTTTTTTTGCATAGTGAGAGCCTTAAGAAAGTCATTACTGCTGGCTTGTGGCTATTTCCCGGTAAATGATCTGACATGATGAGTGAACTGCGGAGGATGCGCTTATGACAAGCATGAGGTTAATCTGACCACATGGCGTAAGCAGATTTTATTCTTCCAGCATTTTCGTTAGCTTGAATATGATCCGAAAGGCTGTAAAATGCACGGCAGCACGGTTTTTGTTCACCGCAACATTATTTCCCAGGCTTTTTCAGCTGCTTTTTTTTCATGTCATTTGAGCACCATTCTTAATGTAGATCACATGCGGGATTGGCAATGGCATTAGGATGAATTGGAGTAAAATGCTCGGGATTTCGGCACAGCGTAGAGAAAAAAATTCTCTTTTTCTATGAATAAAAAAAAAAGTCGCGGTGCTATGGAAAATGTGTTCAAAAAAAATGATGCAACGTGATGGCGGTCCCCCAGATCCGCCCATTATGCACCAAATTCAACCTGGAGCTAATGGCGTTCATGAATTGCACGATTCTGCCTGGAATGCTTCGTGTATATTTTTTAGAGGACGTTGCCATAAAGATATTTTTATTCCGCCAGCGTTTTTCATACCGGCAGGAAGAAAAACGGGTAAGAAAACGCTTTTTCTTATTTTTGCATTGATTGAAAAAATTGTCCAAACCGACCGCTCATCTTGAAATGGTGAATGCAATGGGATGAATTGCAATGCGATCTTCGAGATTTCGTGACAATGTAGAGAAGATATTGTACTTGTCATATAAAAAAAAATTCGGACAGTACATATAGCAAAAGCTGCAGTATAAATAAAAACGTAAAAAAACAGCATAAGTTTGGACAATTTTTTCAGCCACTGTACTTTAGTCTTGAGTCAGAATTAATAATTATCAGTGAGCAGTCCTCGGTTATAAGATGTATTAAGAAGGATCCACATGCTGTGATATGACAGCTTTATCCGTATGAATTGATCTTGATGATACAGTAGATCTAAGTTATAAATGAAGAGGCTTAATCAGTATTCTAATGAAGAAGCTTACTTAAAATGAAAACACGTCTAGATCCTGATCTTTCCTGTTTGAAAACACCAGTCTAAGATGAATAATACATCAAGTAGTAGATATACCACATAGTAAAATATATTCACATTTAGTGAGATAAGAATAACCAATAAAAACTGTTGTTATACAACTGATTGAATGAAAGAAAACTAAATTTGTCCAAAAATTTTATTTTGACCATTTTTTTTCCTGTCAAAATGCTTACTAAAGATGTTGTTGCATATGTTATATACTCATTGAAGCTTATAAAAGAAACAAAACTATTGCTATGAAACGCTTGTCTGACATTAGTGAGGAACTATCTATATCAAGATAATAAATACACATATTTTTAGATAATAAATGTATATTTAAAGATATAATTTTTAAAATATTTAAATAAATGATAATTTATTTTTAAAAATATATAAAAATGTATCAATAGTTTTTTAATTGTGTTTTTAAATAAATAAATGGTCAGAGGAGATGTCTGATGTGGGTAGCATAAACGAAGTGTTGCTACTTGTCTATGGGTGTGGTATCATGATGTTGTGAGGTCGTCAACATTTATGATATGTTCTGAGGGTAGTGGCTGTTCCTCACTAGTAGAAAGTCATTAATATCCAAGAAGACT